TACGTCGGCCTAAATGCCCTCATAAAGAGACCTCGCTCATACCTCCATACATCCTAATAGACGCAACAATTTGGTACTAGCTTGTAGCAGAACAGAGAAATAGTTACACTGATCTCTTATTTCACTGTTATTTTTTTTTAATTGAAATAAAACTATTGTCAATAATACATGAGTGAAGAATTTGCATTATTATCTTACATGTAATCTTTTTTTAATCTTGACACTTCTTCATCATCATCATTTCAGCCCATTATACATAGAGTTTGAGTCCACTGCTTAACATAGGCCTCCCCCACAGACTATACATCTATACTTTTTTAAGTGAAATAGTTGGCAAGCGAGCAAGCGTGGTGTTAAGTGCTTACGGCCGCTGATGGACATCTTCTACAGTACTCGAACAATTCTAGATGCGTTAACAAACTTAAAACCCGTTTACCTCACTCACCAGACGCAACGCGGAAGCATTATACTTAAACTTCGCGCCGGTTCTGTGAGGCCATGGTACTTCTCCGGACCAAGCTGGCCCATCCGCGCAACGGCACAAACTGTTGCTAAGTCACAGTTAGACACCTTAGTACAGAGGAGGCGCTTGCCAAGCAGTGGGACATATATAGGCTGTTACTTTACTCTTCAGCTGTTGAAAGTCAGGGTTCCTTCAGCAGGCGCATTAATCGCGTACAAAATATATAAATGTCAAGATTTGCGTAACAAATTTATTGAATACTACCCGCCCGGAGACTTCGTTCTTTTTTTTCTAGTATTAAAACCTTCAGTTGGTCTTAAGAAACATTCAAAGAAAGTCCAGCCATTCTTAAGTTATTTCCAATATTCATAGACGTAGGGTTCCAGATGCGTTGCCAACCTTTATACAGTTGGCCCCGTTCACCTCACTCACCAGACGTCACGCAAAAGTATAATACATTTACTTCACATTCGTCTTCTGCGAGGTACTGTCATAGAGTTCATATATTTCGAGAACCTCTGGTTCAATTAACATGATTAATATTTCGTATGGCATGTTAATATAGTAGTATTTTATGTAGTATTACAACAAAAGTACTGTAATTTGAAATAAACATGCTTTACCTATTAATCATAAGTTGGCTAGAAAATTTTTATATAGCAACGCCCACTCCACGCCCGCCTCTGTCCGCGGTACACGAGTAAACACGCTGATTGTCTGAAGTCGTAGCGACGATTTTTTCTCTTCAATTACTCTCATTGGGCTTCGGCGGGGATCATCTGCTTGTTTACCACGAAACGGGCGCTCTCAATGAACTCCGCTGTCCCACTTTTCGCTGACCATTAGCCATTGGGCAGGCCGGATTAATGGACTAAATTCTTAATAGTTAACGGAACATTTAGTCGAGTGTTTGATAGTCACTGTCTTGATCTCGGCACATAAATTACTTTGAGTCGATCGTTTAATCTAAATGGAACTTTGCAATGTTTCAATTAATAATCGAAGTCAAACTATTAAGTCTCATTTAGCTGGAGCCATTTTGGTAATATATAAATAACGCATGATCTAGACAAATTGAATGATATGTAAAGATTATCGGTACAGGATTCGTTTTAAAAAAACAAAAGTAACGTGGCCTATATATATGTCCCAATGCTGGTCAAGGGCTTTCTCGAACACAGGATAAGGCTTAGTCCAACACCTTATGCCACTGCGGATTTGCGGACTCTTCTTTTTTTATTATTATTTCGGAAAGACGCATGTTTCCTCACCATATTTTCCTTCACCGCTGGGGACGTGATAATTCACCACCTAAAATTATAATGAACAATTTCATTGGTTCCGGCACCGGGATTTGACCTCGACCTTTTTTTTATGTGAAAAGTTGACAAGCGAGCAGGCGATTCACCTGATGTTAAGTGAATACCGCCGCCCATGGACATCTGCTACACCCGAGGGTTACAGATGCGTTAACAACCTTATGAAATTGGGCTCCGGGTACCTCACTCACCAGATCAAACGCGAGAGTATTTGTCATACTTCCACTTTACGCCGGTCTTCTGTGAGATCGTGGTACTCACCCGGACGAGCCTGCCCATTCGTGCAACAGCCGAGGCTGCTGCGTGGCCTTACCAAAAAGTTGCCCGAATACATTTAATTACAAGCGAGCGCCCGGACACTGAGCTATCTCTCTATGGCTATCTCGGTAAGACCCTATAAGTATTACAACGACAAAATCGTGTTCAAAACTTAAATTAAAAAAAAGTCCCATTCACCTCGATGCTCCTTTTGGCGAAGGCACTAAGTGCGCCTTTTATGAAAGCGTCAGTGCACGCTCCCAACAATGCTCTCAATATTTATAGCGCCACATAAATCCGGCGCCGTTCAATAAGCGCCAACGCCTCGAACTATCCCGTAGGAGAGCGGCGGAAAGATCTCGAACTATTCCGCGCCGCTGGCAAACAGCAGCGGTGCCGGCGGCAACTTCTCAGCGGGTTCAGTTTGCGGATGTTTTAAATGTTGTTACTCGCTTTATAAGCAGTTAACGCCCGCTCAAGCGGACCGCGCGACGGCTTGAATGGAAAACTATATAAACTGCGATAGAAATAAAACAGTTGTTTGTTTCAACGCGGAGAATTAAAATTGTTTCATATTCCGACTGCGTTTCCCGAGTTGAGCTAGATTACTACGAAGAGATAGACAATTTATTGTTATAGAACGTGTTTCTACATTTATCGCGGAGGGTTAAACTCCAGAATTATAATTACTTCCTATTTAATTTTATGTTATATATCACTATAATAGTTAATTACTATTTTATATGGATTTTTAACTGTAGTATGGCCATGATAGTATGCTCTGTATTGGCTGTGAAATGAATTACTGTATAAGTATTAAGTATTAGTAAGGAATTAAACTCACTAGCTAAGTAACAGACTATTATTACTTATAAAATGTCACTGGATGCAGGGCACCGGACGTCGTATGTAATCAGCGTTTTTACGTAGTTCCAATCATTAGAATATCATTAATCTCAGCACATACAAACGCAATCAACGTAGTAATATGAACACGTAAGGTTTTTGCGGCTGGCTCTATTTCAAAGAACTTAAAAGTAAGAAAAAAAAATCGTCCAGACGGCGCGCGCAAAAGGAAAGTTCAAAAACTTGAGCACCGGAAACTTGAGCTGTGTTTCGCAGGATAAAAAAAATACAAGCGCGTTTACGCCGTGACATTCTCTTGAATATTATTCTTAATACTCTCTTCTATATAATTACATTGATGATGTTATTATGATGGTCTTTATTCAGTATATTTTCGCTTCCTTCATTTCTCAGGTGACGCCAAGTCATGTGGGTTAATAGAGCAAAAACTACGATAATATCCCTGCGTGTGTCGTAGTCGATCTCCTTCTTACTCAAATCACAGTCCACTACGAATAATTTGTGAGACTAATATAAATTTCAGATGGGATTGTACGAAAAATTCTAACAAGGCCATGTAAAATTAATATCCGATACCGCGTGACATTTCTGACGTTATAATATGGTACTGGCATCCAGTATTATCCGGTTGGATGCCGCCCCAAAGCGGCTCGAACTAGTTACAGCGGGCACAAAGCGGTGTTGGAATTCAATACGTTTGAAGCACTGAAGCCTCGCGGGGAGGCGCGAATGTGAACGCCATTGGAATGTATTTATTAATTGTTTCACAGTGTTATACGACTGTGTTCAGCCATAGGACTCGACAAAAGTGTGGTTGCCGCTTTATTCCGAGCGAAATATATTTGTCTCCCAGTCGGGGGATATTATAAGAGATATATTCAATGAGTTTGAGTATCCATTATATGGAGTGACGACCTGTGCAAGTGTGCGGGAAGTCGATAGATCGTGGGGCTCAGGATCGTGCTTCGTGGCAGTCTGTGGGGGAGGCCTATGCTAAGAATCGTTTAACTGTGGTATTGCCACGCAACAGCCTACACGAATGGACATGCTTGTCCGGAGAAGAACCATGGCTTTATAGAAGAACATTTTCGGTGGTAGGGCCACGCAGCAGCCTCGGCTGTTGAACGATTGGGCAGGCTCGTCCGGGTAAATACCACGACCTCACAGAAGTCCGGCGTAAAATGGAGGTATAATACTTTCGCGTTTCGTCTGGTGAGTGAGGTGGCCGGAGCCCAATTTCCAAAAGGTTGTCAAAGCATCTGCAACACCCGGGTGTAGCAGATGTCCATGAGCGGCGGTATTCACTTAACATCCGGTGAACCGTAACCTGGGCCGACTGCTTTTAAAGTTGTCAAAGCATCAGCAAACCCTCGGGTATTGTAGATGTCCATGGGTGGCGGTAATCACTTAACATCAAGTGAACCGCCTGCTCGCGTGGCAACGTTTCAAATTAGAAAAAACATATTTTTTTATAATTAAAAAGACAAACGAGTATCGTCGTCTGATAGTAAGAGATTATCGCCGCTCTTGAACTTGACGAGTAACAAATGTGTTGTCGGCCTTTACTTAGAAATAGGCTCTCTTCTTGAAGGTCCTTCAATCGCATCGTTTCGGTTATACCACATTGGTTGTGCGCGGCAAACAATTTCCATAAATACGCACTGTGGTGGACTGACAACCATCAACATGTTATTAATGATATTTTGGGCGTATTAGGGTCTAGTCCACCATTACCCCGCCGTGTTTTGACACACTTCATATATCATCGAAATGTTGTTTTTTTTTTTGTTATCGAAAATATGCAAATTTCACCAAAATCTTTCCCTCACCAGTGAGCACGTGATCGACGATTTAAATTGCAATCAACGATTTATTGGCCGTATTCGGGATTTAAACTCATGTTGCAAGAGTATGTTAAATTCGAGCGCCTGGGTACTTAGCTATCACGGCTTCGACAGCTGAAGGACACATGGAGCTTTTTTAAATCAACTGTGTATTTCGATCACAAACTAAATACAATAACATTTTTACAATACAAAAGTACAATACAAAACAAAAGTACAATAACATTTTTATTGAGTTAGTAATAACCTATGAAAATCGGCCAAGTGCGAGTCGGACCCGCGCACGAAGGATATCGTACCATTAATAAAAACGGTAAAAGTGTTAGTTTTTGCAAAAATGCAAAAATAACCCTTTTAAGTACTGAGAAAATATATATAGATACATATTTAACTCGCTTTTGCATTGTTTCAGCTCAAAACGTGGAAATATCTCCTCTGAAGGCGGTTCGTCGCGTTGGTGACGAGCTTACCGTCCTATGCAAAGTGCCGTACCGCATCGACTCCTGTCGGTAAGTATTATTATTCATTAATTCACTGAATCTTGATATATCGATCGTTCATTCATAATCCCACAACATTTAGGCTTCTAATTTTGCAGTATTACACGAACTAGTTATTTTGTTAGGCGTTCGGGATAAGGGGTGAGAAAGAAGAACCAGAAATAGAAAAGTAATGAAAATGCCTAAATGCAATAACTACATACAACGACAAATCCAACCGAACGCCCCTAATGAATATGTAAAGACGTTTAAAGTTACAATTCAATCGGCTACAAAGCCGGCTACGTCGTTAAGTTTAGCCGTCAAGTTTAGCGGCGCTGTTAATCATAGTTGACTTACTGCTTACGTAGCGGTTAGTTAACTAAGATGTTAAACTGAACCGCCAACAGCTTGCTCCAAGTTTCCGCGCAAATCCCAATAATTCTCGCGTCGCTTCGCCGCACTTGAAATCATATTATTACGGCGTTCAACACAACCGTAGTAACATCGCGGGACTTCTCGTGACATGCGACTCTCAGGTTGTGGCCACTTGTAAGATGGTTATTGATAAGCCAACGCCTGGTTTCTGAAACACTGATCATCGTTTAAGTCAACTAATCAGCTGTCAAATGGATTTTCAAATGTTATTTAAGTTGCCAAAAGGATGATTAACTCTCTGATTAGTTGACTTTTTCGATGATCATTGTTTCAGTAACCTGACGTTAGTGATCGAAACTGCTTTTAGATGGCACCTTCATACGTAATAAGAAGTATAGTAGCAGGAAGCGGGCGGTTCACCTAATGTTAAGTGATTACCCCCGCCAATTGATCAAAACAACAGAGCACACTGTTGCGTGGCCCTACATCAGGGTATAATGTACGGGAAGTTCTTAAAATATTACAAAAAAAACATAATCAGTGCCATAGGGACTGCCGACAGAAGTGAAAAAATAAAACAATATGACATTTAAAATTGTTTAATATTTTTTTCTATATATTTCATAGGCACTCCGAACGTAATAACAGTATTCATATCATATCCATACGTACAAATATATTTTTGCGTATTCCTTTTTTAAGAACAGGTCATGGAAAGTGTTTGGTGACGATGACGAGAGTTTACTTAGCTTTTTGTTTACCCAAAAAGTGCTCAGCGCGCCTAAAGAATGACGATCTTACATAATCCTTGACCAGAGACGTGCACTTCTGTGTGACCAACATTATATCGAGTCGTTGTTTTCTTCTATTCTGTATAACACGAGTTAAAGAAATTATATTTATCCTTTTTCCATTTCCAGGATGACCGTAGGCCCGACTTCCTACCGACTGATCCCCAATAATCCAGGCGACGTGGTCTACGCCGGCCAAGGCTTAGAGGTAAGGACTTAATAAACACATCTGAAATAACCGACATAAGAAGTCTCCTGGTCACATATAGTTTTTTTTTTCTAAGTGAAAAGTTGATGTTAAGTGAATGCCCATGGACATCTGCTACACCCGAAGGTTCCAGATGCGTTGACAACCCTTTGAAAATTGGGCTCCGGCCACCTCACTCACTAGACGAAACGCGAAAGTATTATACTTCCACTTTACGCCGGTCTTCTGTGAGGTCGTAGATCTTATCCGGACGTGCCTGCCCATTCGTGTAACAGCCGAGGCTGCTGCGTGGCCCTACCACCGTGAAATGTACCGTATGCATACTATTCGGTGTAAGTGCAACAAAATAATGAGACCGTAGAATATATTAAAATGGTAAAATGGCAAATGGTAAGAGAACAACGCATCGTGGTGAATGGTTGGAGGTGAACAGAACTGATATTATAAAGTAATATGATACTTCATATTACCTGATCCGCCCGCTCCCTTACTCCGTAACTCAATAGATTGTCGGAAATTTGACAGAGTTTATTATATTAGTAAAAGCGAGGACAGGGACAACTCAGCAGCCGGGCGGGCGGTTTTAATTCAATATACTCGAGCAACGTAAGCTCGAGTCGGGGCCAGTCATCAACGAAATCGCTAGTTGCAATTTTAAGTGCCGATTCATCACGCACTCATTGGAGAAGGAAAACTTTATGAAGCAGATCTTCAATGACGATGAAGACAATCGTATTTTTTGAATAAAAAAAATATTTTAACATCTTATGTGAGTTCTACCAATTTGCAATGGGGTTTATATTCTACCACTACACTACTCTTGGACCACACCCCAATACCTGGTTGTCGCCTTTTTTTGAAGAAAAAATATTATTATTTTGTTCTATGTTACAAAAATTAATACTTTTAGGAAATTTAGGGAAAATATTACACATTTTTTTCTCATTATTTATTTTATTTTTAAACAATATAATCATCATCATCATATCAGCCTGTTCTTGTCCGTTGCTGAACATAAGGTCTCCCCACAGATTGCTACGAAGCAGAGTTCGTAACTCCATCTAGTGAGGAGTTGTCCTAAACTGTAATGACCAATACGAGGCCGCCACTCAAGAACCCTCCCTCCCCGTTAATTTTAATAAAAATTATAATATACTAGCGACCCGCAACGGCTTCGCACGGGTGCAATGTATTATACATATAAACCTTCCTCTTGAATCATTCTATCTAGTAAAAAATGAAGATGCATCAACTTTTATAATAAAATAGGTGACATCCACAAACAACTAAGTATAAACAATTTTAAACAATTTGTAAAAGCTAGCTTAATGACAAGGGCCTACTATAATATCCAAGAATACATTGAGGACAAGGATGTTTGGAAATGACTCTTGCTCTGCACTTGCAAGACCCCTGGCTGCTGCTGATTTTATACCTAAATAAGTGTGTATAATTGCATCAAAAAAAAATATAACAAAAAGAACAAGACCGCAGTTTCTTGCCGGTTCTTCTCTGTGCAGGTCTAGTTTAGTGAACCGGTGGTAGATTTTTTGTTGACGTTCAATAAGAGCTTAAGTTAGGCTTATATTGAATAAATATACTTTGACTTGGTTTGAAAAAACCGCACCAAGATCCGTTGCGTAGTTTTAAAGATCTAAGCATACATAGGGACAGACGGACAGCGGGACGACTTTGTTTTATACTATGTAGTGATACAACTAATGTATTCCGTCATTGCCACAGGTGGGTGAGTGCGGTGCCCACATCAAGCACATAAAGGAGGAATGGAATGGAAACATATCCTGCGTTCTGCCGCCAAAGTCCGGCAGCATCGAAGTCACCGGCACCATGCAACTGTTGGTCGCAAGTGAGTTAATTAACGTCTTTAACAATTTTACGATGAGCCACACTGTCATATCCTTTATACAAGGCAATAGCTCAGCTACGGTACGATTGCCACAACGATAAAGAATTTTTTTGATCCATAAATACTTTGACACCGCATAATTCAGCTTTGCAACGCTCATATCGAATTCCAAGTGCTGAAGACGTATTCATTGTAACAAAGACCAATGCAATAATCGTTAATTGCAATATTTGTTGTTGATTGAATAAACAGGTTGTAAGTGACACCCCGTTTATTTAATTCTTAAAATTACTAATTTATAATTTGTTTTACATTCATCTACGTTTATAAATCTTCAAAAATATAACTAGGAGATTTTTTTTACACAACCTTACCTAGTGTCACGCTAGTGCGTGGTTTGGTACATAAAATGATATTATAGATGTCTTAATACACATACTAGATAAACAACGCCCTTTGCCGCAATAGACAGTCACAACCTGTCTTTTTTGACAAAGGGAAGTACGCCAATTGATTCAAAAAACGAGTTTTATTCTTTTTCCTTATTACTTTAACAATTGTTTTATAACTTCGAATAATATGTACATGTTTTACATCATTATTATCTGGATGCTTTTTGCAATAAATATATTGATTGCGTTTTCATATTGATTTACTTAGATGATCATTCATCACATATTATGTTGTTTTCAGTTTTTCTATTGTTCAAATTGTTTATGTAATTTCTAACATACATTAGAAGTAAATACAGGGTAATATACTATTTTACAAGCACAAATTGTTTATGTAACAAGCTTATAAGCATGCACCACGCCTTTGCAGTCAAATACGATGTTATAAATCTTATGATACAAAATGCATGTAAAATTTTGGGCTACCTTCAAACAGCTATTAAAAAGTTAATACACGGCGAACTTTTACAAAGCGAAGTGCCCCTAAATTTTCTTTAATGACACGTTCTTCTACATTATAGGCGCTACACCTGATGCTTTACTTTATCGAAATAATGACGTCCGTAATATTAAACATATTTTCTTTTATACACTTTCATACACAACAAGTAGTCCATCAATTGTCGTTATGATATAAGCTATACCTTGACGGGGTAGCGTAAGCACCTTAATGTTTTCTAAATTTAAATCCGCTATTTTTAATTTTACAAAAACAAGGTAGTAAGTAGTATTCTTTAAATTTCAATTTCTCCCTAAATTTAGAAAGAAATTGGCATCCGTGATTGGAATATAAAAAAAATATAAATCTCGAATTAAAAAAGTTTGATCAACAATCAATCTAGACATCGAAAACGTAGATGTTGTGTATGTGTCTAGTTTAGTCTAATATGAGGTAAACTCTGTTATTGTACACTTCACAGGGGCACCCGGAGATCCTCAGCTGATCTCGCCGCCGCAGTCTTCTTTCAAGGAGGGTGACATATTCATGGCCCAATGCATCGTGCCCAACGGAAGGCCGGCTGCGAAGATCACCTGGTTCTTGGGGTAAATCAATCGTTCTGTCCTCCTTGTTCCGTCAGTGATTTTATAAAGCTAAAAAAAACCTTTGCATGTTAGAGATAACATTTATAGTAGCGATTTGTGAATGTGAGTCGAAATGCTAATGAATTTGTTAATTAAATACAGGTACTTTGTACTTAACGACAATGTAGATGACAAATAGTGACTTAGTTTTACAAATTAAAGTTAAGCTTTTTGAGCAAACTATACCTACAGGGTAAATTTTTCAAAAATTCAACACTTCCTTAAGTTTCCCAAAGTTTGTATACAAATAATTCCCCGATTCCTGGTTAAGAATGTTGTATTTTTAATCAATATCGGGCCCAGGCACCTTCGAGCATTTCTCGCTATTCCACATAAGTAATTTGGCTTTCCACGCCTACTTGAAATTCACACTGTATATAAAAAGTTACAAGTTATAATCAGTAGAAATATTGGCTTAAACTATAACAATTGCTGTTGATAAAACAGCAATAATAAAATGACATTTTAGTGATTATTATTTACTCGATACATATATATACATTATGGCGAGCCTTAAATGTGGATATGTAATTGACGTTTGTCATCCACCCGCAGACGAGGAACAGCTGCTCGCTGGCACCCACCAGCCTGTGGTGAGCTCCGAGCCGGGCAGCGACCTTCAGACCATCAGCCAGAATGTCAGCCGGGCCCTGTCGGCGGACGATAGCGGCAGGCGGCTGGTGTGCCGCGCGGAGCACGAGAGCCTCGACAAGCCCAAGGAAGCCAGCAGACAGCTGCTCGTGCAATGTACGTACACTGAGTACCTGTACCCATCACTCCTTCAACACCGCATGTACTTACACTGAGTACATGTACCCATCACTCCTCTAACATCACCCCCGTATATTAATTTCATACTGCACGTACGATAACTTGTAAGGAATACTGAATTAGTACTTGAGTCACTCGGCGACGCCATTTCTAAGATATTGGCTTCGGTATCGGTATTGGGTTCGATTCCCACACGGGACTAATATCTGAGTGACTGACGTTGTTCGGTATCTGGGGGTTTATTTCCCAAACGGTAACAATAAATACTGAAATGTTGTATTGAGTGCAATCTTCTGGCAGATCCACCGAAGCGGCTCGACGACAGTCCCAGCATCACTATCTTTGGCCTAAAGATATCCGCGGAGGGCCGTCTCAACGTGACCGTCCGTTCGAACCCCCGACCCCACGCCGAGTGGACCATCGGCGATTTGAAACTGGCCGCGCCCCAAAGGAACGACGACGCCTCTATAGAGGCCCTTGAACCCGTCCATTTGGTAAACATTGAAGCACTTATCGTACTGAAAACGCACGCTGTGACGTCACTACCCACTGAAGATGTTACTTGTTCTCATCTTGTCATTTGATAATATAAATCGGTTCGAGTTCGATCTCAGTTTGGACAACACCGAAAGTTTTTGTTTAATTTTCAACAATAAATCACATTTTAAGTTTCGTAGATTGAATTCATTCACGAGTCTCTGCCCTCGCTGGCACTAAAAATAAATATTTATCCAAAAAATCTTCACCATATCATGAACTATATTGCAGGGTGGTGGCTACTATAACGTGACGCTGGTGCTATCTCGTGTAGCCAAAGAGGACGTTGACCGCACTTACTACCTGACGGTCACCAACGATCTGGGCCGGGAGGATTTCTCCGTCCGCCTCAGCACCATGGACGAACCTGCCGGTAAGCCCCAAGTCATAGCTTTCTTTGTGTCCCATATCAAGCCAACGTCTGAAATTGGACCTTTCAATTTTTCCGTTCGCTGCTATTGTCCGATGCATATGAATTAGGAAAGTGGCAGAGATCCATGCTAAACGCCATCTAAACAATTAGCAACTTGTCATAGCGATGAAGGAGGTCTAAATGCACTTCCTCCAAAATACAAGTGGGCTCATGGAAAAAAATCTTGACAAGTGAACAGTGGCCTGTGATCATGACATACGAGTCTACATGAAAATTATTATAGTAGTCCGTATTTTATGTGGCGTTCATGTTTCGAACTTCGATCTCTGTTCATATTAATAAAGTCAAAAGTCACTTTCGATATATGTATATAGTAATAACTGGTAGATTAAACTGTACAGGTTACCCTTACTTGCGATTATGGGTAGCGTAAATGATTGCTTGTGAGTAATTTCACATTGTTAAAATAAATTTCAATACCGTATTTTTTGTATTAATAAATACCCTACTGCTATTTGCTACTTTAATTGTGATTACTCTTAACCGAAGCGATTATAAACATGCTAAATCATAATTTTATAAATCATAATTTAAATACTAAAGTTAGTCCTACAAGATCAAGTTATTCTAGATATTTACAAGGTTCCTTCCGTATTCTTTCTTCCAAATTAATAAATATGCTGTTGTATTTCCACAGCGCGTAAAGCAAAATCTTCGTTTTTGATAATCGATATTTATGGTAAGAAATTGTACTAAGAATGGTAGTTAATAAATTTTTAATGAATGGGTATGGTATTATATATGAAAGTTAAACGCCTGATTTCAATTTATTTTGTAGTACGTCGCTGAGGTAAAATAGATGTTAATTTACTGTAATGTCATTGCCAATATTTATATTGTTGTAGCATGATTTTACTTTTATATTGTTTTTTTAAAGAATAGATGGTCGAATGAGTTTTAGTACAGATAAAATATGTCTGCCTATTTTTAGTATAGCCCAAAGATTATCTTGGAATTGGTTATTATGTTGCATGTTTAGTAGTTTGAATTTGAACCTTTAAGGGCTATTTAAAAGTAATATTTCCAATTTTTTGAATTGTATTTCATAAATTAATGTTTTCATTTTTCAATGTTGTCTTTGCATCCCTTGAATTTTATAACTTAGAAGTTTGTATGTTATTTTCTTTCGTGATTTCTTTTGAACAATTTGTAGTGTAAAATTAATGTATTTTGTTACAAATACTTCGTTAATGTTGTGTTTAACGGTTGCATTTTTGTATTTACAATCTGTATACACAGTATAGATAGGTCCTGTATTATTTTTTTGTTGAAATATTTATTATTTGGAAATGAAACTTTGTGTATGGGCTCGGATTATGGGTCGCAATATGCACAGGATATCTAAGAACTAGTTACAAATAATTCATCAAAATCATTCGCTTTTTCCAAAATCGTTATGTTTATTAGCCTAATTATTTTTGTTTTAAAAGTAGCAACGGTTTAAAAATTCAACACTTGATTGTTACGTCGCTATAACCAAAAAATAGTTACAACCGGAGTCGTGATAAATGCAATGCGTACTTTTGTTGTTATTTGTATTGTCAGTACTATTTGTATCTCAATGTATATTTACTAAGACTATCATTATTTACAACCCTTTACCATTTTCTGAAGTTATTTTATGTCATAGGTGTGGAATTGGAGACTGGAGCCATCGTGGGGATCGTAGTCGCCGTTCTGATACTTCTGATAGGCATATTCCTCGTTGTATTTGCTAAAGCCACCGACAGATGGTGCTTTGCAGGTTAGTGACTTTCTAACTGATTTCTGTTACTTATTAGATTAAATATTTTACAGTAATGTTAGCGATTTTATCAAGTCCTTTTTTTCTTATTTCCGGGACATGATCATAGCTAAAACAAGCTAACATACGCATCCTAAAACATTACGAGAGATGCAATATTTTGAGAACTATTATTACACTCCCCCGTTTGTTCACAACTAATTAAATTGATGTTGCCAGTAATTTTTTTAAGTAGTCACAGTCTTGATAACTGAGCTATCGACTGTTTGAATTTTTTTATAATACGGAGAATGCAGGAGGACCTTCATCAGAGTTGTGTTAAAAAATATATTGAATGATTAATTGATTATTAATAAAACAGTGATCGACCCACACACAGTCAACAGTCGGTAGCTTAAGGATTATCTTAATGCATTTTGTTATTTGAACTTGCTTCCTTATATGCTTCATTACCCGTTTCGAGTAATTTAGGCATGCCCTTTAATGCTATTATATCATATAGAAACAAAACTAATAAAAGCGGATATCCAACAGGCTCTGGGGCGGTTGGTCGATAGGTAAACACTGGAAATTCTTTAATCACACCACATCCCGCTGACATTTCATATATCGCGTGTTTACTTACGCTTACCATGTAATAAATAAATATCATAATACTATATAAAGCGGGCGACTCGTAATTTTAATGAAATAAAGTTAAAAACAATTCATATCAGCGATTTTATTCTCCAACAATTTCTTATTTTTATGACAAAATGCAAAATTTACAAAAAAAAAAGTGAATCAAAAATGTTATTTTCACTTTCAATATAGGTATTACATAATTATAAAGAGTTATTCACGTGAATGCGATATATAAGCACGTAAATTATCGTTAATATGAATCGTTTTTATCTTACACAATATTCACGCCCAAAGCATCTTACATGGCATGAGGTTTTTTCTTAATAGTGTCAACGTATATGGTCATCAATGTTCTGCCAATGTCAAAGCTACGTCAGACGTATTCGTCGTTTATTTATCTATTCGTCCTGTTTTCGTATTTGCTCTCCTCCTTTGTGTAGTTTAAATGTTTTTGCGTTTACTTAGATATGGTAGCAATTGTTTGGCTGTTGTAGATTTAGAAAATAAGAAGTGAAACTTGGCAGTGTTTTTTTTGCAAAATTGTTCTTGTGCTTGTCCAATTATTGTGTAGTTGAATATGTTTATGTTGGTTGAATAAAAGAATTGTCATTAAGTTAATAAGTTAAACTTTGTGATTTTGCTGCATAACAATATTAAGCGATCAAGAACCCAATACAGATTCGGTTTTTCTTTTTAATTTGAATGATGCATGACTTATTTACTATATACTCTCGGTCGTGTTAGGGTGAATGGTTTTCTCCTTCTTTCTTTTCCAATTTATTATCTGTAGCTCTTATCCTTATCATTGTACGCATGAATGCATTTAACATTTTAAATAGTGCATGAACTATTTTTGGGATTTGACGGATGATAAACGTATACACATATTTAAATTAATGTTTGTATCGTAATTACAAAAATTTATTAGGTTTAAAGTGACTTATAAATCACATCATTACATAACAATTTCTGTCACATTATATTTTATTGGTCAATTTTTCACGACATCATGGTGTTGGGTATTTTATAATTATGTGGTCACTAATTTTATTTCACATTTAGTGTAAAATTTAAACAAATAAATATAACTAATAAAACTAGGACAAGAATAACATTTATTTAATGCTTTTCAATCGTAAAACAATAATAATTTTCAGTCGCCGTCAAAGATAATGTAATATAGTTCCTAATCTTAATTCGAGATGAATTAAACTTTAATTGCGAAATTTATACGCGTTAATTAACGTTTATTTACAAATCTATCACTACACGATAAAACTAGCTGTTACTGAAATATTGCTTAACACCTGTGGTGGAAAGTGTAATTGACGGCTACCTACCCACATTGTGTTCAAATCTAATTAATAGTATTATTCGAATAGCATAAACAAAATGTGATTGTTGTTTATAATAACAACGAATGTTAGATAATTTAAGGCATCGTTGATGGATCTAAACACCATTTTTCCGCCCAACGTAGACCGCATATAATTTTTGAACATAGGTAATAAAACGAATTTCAAACAGTTGTAATGATCCATAAAATTAAGAATAATTAAATACGTAATATACACGTGGCAATAATGTAGAATTGTTTTACCAAAAAAAAGGGTTGAAATAAATTAAAAAAATATAACCTTTGCAAAAGTTCCGTGGCGTCAGAAACATGATAAAAATTCTATTAGTATATCCTCAAGTTGTACTAAAGGATAAATTTTGTGATCGGATTATGTGTAAATAAAAAATATTAATTCAATATAATCATATATTTCACTAACACATTCTTAAATTCTCTTTTAAATTAATTTATAAAAAAGTATCAAATTAAGTATACGGGAAGCAAACTCACCACAGTAACCTCCTTGTATTATAATTTGCAAACGGAAACGATAAAACTGGTCTGTGGTGCTTTCGCACTTTGCTCATGCACATTAACGCGACAGTGGCACCTGTCAGAGCGTCCCCACCCCACCCCACCCCACTCCTCTGTGTGAATCAGCACAAGGGTCACCAACGCGACGCTTTCACTTCATGGGGCGTTCGGGTGTTCTTGGTCGCTTAACGTGTTGGTATGTGGCAGGGCGGTCCCACCGCACCGACATCCCCGATGGGGCCGATTCCGAGGCGCCCCTACCCCCCCACGATGACGTCAAGGGCTCCGAGAACCCATCCCACGACCACGGGGAGTACATCAGCAACGGTGACACAAAACACCCCGAAAAGAAACCCGACACCGCCGTCTAAATCCGTAAGTCGAAGCTGTCACTCGGAAACATTCGGAATGGTTTAATGAACACTACAATATTTAATCGACTAACCGAACAGCCATTGTCAAATTCCGTTTCTGAGGGACAGTTTTCAAGTGAGGGGCGTTTTCGAGGCCGTTTGAAATTCGAATATGGGTTTCTATAATTGTCAGATGGTTTTTTATCATGTACTGTTACTCATTCCTTGTTAGTAACGACTTACGAAAAATCCATTCGAGATTTTTCCGTTTAATAGACTTTATTATACGCTGTAAAATCAGTCCTATAAACTGTTCGCATCTATGCCGCTTTTTGAAAATAGATGTGCGTAAATTATAAATATATGTCTTTTTCTCATGTTGTCCACATTTTAGAATGTTTACGCCACGATCGAGGGAAAAGTCACTCAAAAATCACAATGCAATTTTGCAAATTAAATACATATTTTTGGTAATAAGACGTTACTCTCTCGTGAAATACGTTCGGTTATTACAAATCTTCTAAGGTTATCTCAGATCTCACCGATATTTTGTGTTATGAGGCAGTGTGTGTATGACCTTAAGAGGGCTGTTTAAATTTGCTACATTGGGAATATTAAAAAGTAAAAGTTAACACATCTGCTAATATTGAAAATGGAAAAATTCTTCAAAGTAAAGTGTGACTTTTTCCCCGATTGCACAATTAGACTAATAATGTTTTTCGATGTATTCGTAGTGGAATATATAATAAGAATCTCGTTGAAAGTAATTTAAAAATATATCATTATTGTATTACAACGAATCCCAACGTGTGAAATGTAAGATTAGGCCGTTGTCTCTTTAATAATATACAATGTATAGTCATGACGAATACCGCTACTTAATATGGAATATGTATGTATCAATGGACTTTACACTATTTCTTAGACTACAAATTTTATAAATGTTTCGGGGTGTACCGCTTGCGACTTTATGTAAGCCTTTTATATAAGTTTTTATATAATAGACTTTTAAAGAATGTTATACTGTGGATTGGCTTTGTTCATTTTATTTTATCTGTCTACATGTATTTCATGGCCGTATAATAATTACTTTTTTAATTTTAGGTTAGGATTGTGTTCGTACCACCATATTTTGAATCACTAGTTCTTTTTGTATATAAATTGTAGTAGATTCATGCTTTTCAACCTTTACATTAAGTTTCCTTAAGTGACAATATTTTAAATGTAAGAGAATTTGTAATATTTGGTAATCCATTTACAATAAAATTTTGGATACACTTAAAAAAATCTGGATTTTGATTTTAAAGCAAAGAATCTCATTTTATGTAAAAAGAGTTAAAACAATATGTTAAGTATTAGTTGGATAAGTCACCGTCATTGTGATTTTTTTAGTATTTTGTAATTAAATGCATTATGTTAAGGATAATTTTTTGTACCAGTTTAATTTAAGCAGTATAAGTTTCTAGAATAAGTTTTCTTTATTTTTCCTATCAATAAAACGAAAGAAGAAAAAAAAACACTGCCATTTTGCACTTTGCCAAAAATAACCGCTTTGAAAATTAGGCTCAATTTAAATGTAGAATTGTTTGTAGTTATAAGACATTTCAAACTACAACATCTAAAATTTAACATTGTTATATATTCATTCGTTTAAATTAACAAATAAATACTATTGACCATTCCTTAAATTTGTTTTAACTCGTCACAAATTTAATAATTTAATGAAATTATTTGACATGTATCTACATTTTGATCGTTTTATTTTCCCGCATATTTTTTTTCGATAAAGCGGGTCCAAATATACAATTTTAGTTTGCTTCATTTATTATATGAAGAGCTTATGCAAGTCTAGGCGCTAGCCACTTTCGTATAAATGTTACGAATATAAAATCGTCTCAAATTATAAACTATCGTTAACGGAGATTTGAAGTATTTACGCCAATCTTATTGAATATTTAGTCCAAATATTAATGGATCGCATAAATGTTAATAAATAAATCTCAACGTTTAATTGATAATAATGAATATACCGTATTTATTAAATAAATATTGGTTTGTTTTATTTACAACCGTCTCCACGTTTATGTTTAGACCCGAAATTATAAAAATTATTGATTAATCATTAGGTAAATATTTAATAACCTGTTCGAACATCACACACACACACACACCAAAAAAAACTTCCAGGTTTACGTTTACGATAAACGGGTAGGTAAAATATTCCTTTTCGATAACTTTTGTGATTATGAAGACTGAATTGTAAATTTGATTCCAATTTAGTAATCTGTTTAATGGAGAACTTTTTACTACTGCTACTGCCGTCTGACATCTTAAATGTTCTCTTGTCTTATACTCGTAATCCAGTGTTACTTTATTTTAGACGAGCTATACCATCCCAAATGATTTTAGCTGTAACTAGACCGTGACAGCTCCGTTTCCGGGCGCTCGCTTTTATTTCAATTTACTCGAACAACTCGGGGTTCAAATCCTGGTTTCTGCACCGATTAAATTATTAATTGCAAAATTTTGGTCAAGGAGAACATCGTGAGGAAACCCGCATATTTTCGAAAAAATGGCACAAAAAATAATAAGTAAGAGCTTAAGATATGTGAAGTATCGATCGGCAGTGGGGTCGCATAGTGGACTATGAATGACTGAATGAATGTCTTTATTGCCAGAATATGGTAGTACTTACATTGTGATCTTAATTATAATAATTTGGTGCAACATATTCAGCTGACTTTAGCATGTAATTGTCAATTTAATGCCTAATACCCTATGTGCATACGAGGCCTTAGCTCAGCATTGGGACATTGGCTGTTACTTTAATGAGATTAAACGTTAAACACTAAAGTTCAAATTAAGAATACATTTAGCCCCTACTTCTAATATGTGAACCCGCAACAACAAACTTTAACAAAGAAAGGACTTTTCTATATGGCGAGTTGCGCTCCATCCAATTAGATTATATCCACACTTTCTCTATTTCTTTTGGACACCATCGAATAATTAACTATGAAATAATACATTGAATGAAGGAAGTTTAATAATCTTTCAGTATTAACATGTTCGAATAATAAGTAGGTAATGTTCATGTTCAAATAATAAATAGGCCGAACAATTTTGATTCATCCAAATTTCAAGTTCCTAATTAAATTTGACACAAAAAATGTACATGAAATGATTAGCCATTCGAAATTTAACTAAAAAAATTCTTTAAATTTCGAATCGTTTCGTTTTTTTTCTGGTTTAAGAGAAACATAAATATTATTTCCAGGCGCTAATGGAGTGCGAGACCACACTAAGAGTTCTGGAGAATCGTGAGTATTTTTTTGTTGACATTAATGATTCTATCTCATCATATTGCTTCTATTCTTACACGAATATTAGAACTCCTATAATATTAATGATATTTATTAAAATCTGTGTAAAATAATCAACATTATGTTCATATATGTAGGTATTTAAAATTTTCTACAGTATATTGACAGAAAATTTTAAATGATTTCCCATTCTGAACGGAAAACGTTGAAACTACTTTATACCGCAGGCTTATTTAAGAAGTTTATCAAAAAAATGTTAGAGATTCCGCCAAAACGTATATTTGTTACGTTGATACGTTATATGTGTTGATTACAAGATGTTTCTTTCCGTAAGGACACCGGCAGGGGATGTGCTTTTAGAGAGTGGGATGGCGCAACCTTCTAGAACGTACGTCCGAAATCTTCGCAACTTTCACGACATATTGGCGTTTATAGTTAATAGAATGCACATATCCGAAACAACGTGTGGTATATTTAGGCATTAGATGGATTTCAGTTATAAAAGTCAGCATTTTAACATCTGTAGATGCTTATTAGATCGCCTTTTACGGGCTCATTCGGACATAACCGGATCCCTCTAGAGTCAAATGATTGACTCTGTGTAAGTGTAAAGAAGCTCTCTGTGTTTTGCAATATTACTAATGGTTCTGGTTAAAACAATAATCTATTGTGGACAGATTTTACAACAAGCACTTTCTGTTTATAACTATGTAACATTACGACGAGCAGACAATAAATTTATTATTTTAAATTCATATAATATGAAGGTTCACAATGCACGAGCTTTACCCTAGTAGATACATTCTTATGTTTCCTTTCTTTCTGTTATTTTAAATTGGCACAACAGAGCTTCATGAAGTGCGTGACACTAGTGTACTTTATAACGTGCATAATTAAATATACATAAAACTATCAATATTTAACATAGGCAAAATGTTGTAATTTGCACTTGAAAAAGATAATAGCTGAAAATGTTTCATAAACATTTTTCAATTTTCACGAATTGCAGATCCATAGTGTGTATTTACGATACAATAATAAACTATTAATAATAGTATATTGCTATAGTAATATTTATGAGTGTTGTGTGCGCTGTATTTAAATAAAAAAACAACAATAATTTCGTTAGTGTACGCTCAAAAATATTTTGATTCTGTGACAAGATTCACGCGCTTTCGATTTTAACACTGGCTGAAATTGTAGGCTTCTTTCCGTGTATTCCTTCTTTTTTTATTTAACCCTCAAAAAATAACACATCGGACCGGCCAGTAGTGACACGGAGAGCGCGGTGGGGGGTCGCGAGAGGTCACGGCTCAGCGCTCTGGGCGCCCGCATGCGGGCAGCCTTACCTCGTGCACGCGACCGTGTTCAAGCGACCGAACCCAGAACTGACAATGACGACAAGGTATGAAAACAACTCAGGATTTGTCTAATAAGGACAAGAAAATGTGTTCTTTAGATTTTATATTAGTCCAACACAGAATGTCGGGTTAAAAGGCCAAAGATTATCATATAAAACATGAAATAAAATTAACGCTTTCGACCGCGCACAAATGTTTGACAATAAATTTCGAAAAAAGGTTAATCTCAAAGAGTCGAAGTAACCAGTAGTTATTTTAGAACTACGACGAATGCAAGGAAAGGAATACAAAATGATAGAAAAAAAAATCTTTTGCAAGACAAAACGTTACTCAAATTAAAAATCACAATATCTCCCTATGGGAATGGCCTTTACTTTGAATCTATCTTACAGTGACATTGATAAAGTCAGGTTTTTAATTTGTTGAATGATGCAGGATAACTTAAATTAATGTTTTAATCTTTGGCAATCTATATTATGATTTCAAGAGTAATTTAACATAAAAACTAACCCACCAACTGAGTATCAACATACCTAATTCCACAGAATAGGCCCAACCAATAGGTACTTAGAAAAGAAAACAAATTTAAATATAATGTAATTGTATAGTAAGTTTAAAATGCGAACATGGCCAAAAGCCTAACCGGCTTACAACCTTACAGATCAATGCCGAAGAGAAGAAGGGCGTAGTATACGCCGAGCTTCAACTTGGCGAGCAAACCGCCGAAAAGCCGCCCCCACCCTCCACCGAATACGCGGAGATCGTCTACACCGACCAAAACCAGCAAAAGGAGGCGAAAGAGTAAAGATTTCATCTGAAATTGTAAAGCCGATTTATTCAAAGCGTCGTTCCATTTCATTCGCGAAACCGTGACAAAAACAAAATTCATAAAAGTAAAATTAACTACAAAAAATTTTTTCTATTTGCACATTCGACGTCATTAACAAGCTATGATTATATTATTGTTGCTTACGATTTTTAATATCTTACACAAATCATGTATATAAATCATCACAAATCATTCGTAGAAACTCCACCGAAAGTTAATATTTATTTCAAAAATATATTTTATCGTTTCATATTGTTTAAGTTGTATGTACGTCTAGAATACGTATAAGCTTACACGTGGATTACATGTATGCCTTCAGAAAATTATCGTTGACATATTTAGATTAGTAATAATTCGCTAATAATATAAATTGCAATATTGCAATTTGAAAAATGTAATACCATTTAAAATTTTAGTGCGAAAGGAATCTCTTATTCCTAATTACTCTTTATGTAGTCATAGTCGTGTGTGCTTTCGAAATGATATTATATTTGAACTACTTGATATTTAGATATAAGTTATTTATGTGGCACTTCAAAATATTGCGCACAAAATATTGCAAATATTCTACGTTCCCATTATAAGCTTAATACGGTTATTAATTCATTTTTAAATGTAAATGAACTCTTTGAAATTGAATATACGTAGACATATGGCAGTTTTAATATTATCTATTATCAATTCTCTATCATGATATTATAACTATTTCTATAGAAAACTAACATTCCATTTTTACGTATTTTAGTTGTTCCTATCAAAGATGCGCCTTTTTAGGAGATACTCGAATATTCATAGTATTAGTTACAAAAGGCTAACTATCAATATCTTGCTAGTATATTTTATATTATATTCCAAATTTTTTGTCTAATTTCCCTTAAATTATTTACTTAATCTTCATATAGTTTGTAAAGGAAATCAAATCATATTATATTTTAACGTATTATTTTACATTGTTTAAAAATAATTATGATTATTTCATATTTAGGTTTAAGTACAAAGCAGGGTTAAAACTATGGAGGCTTTTTAAAGAATCCCATATTTTACACTGTTTATCCAGTTTAAGGTACAAAGTTGTTTTACTTTCTTACTAAGTAAAAATTAATTGACGTATAAATGGCTCAACTTCGAGTCTGAATACACTTTTTTTAAGTCCGTCCTTAATAGTGGAAGTTTAGTTTTATCATAATTTTATTTTGTGTACTTTTAATTTTCGGTGCTTTTGATTTTAATTTTTTAATTGTCCACAAATGACCGTAGTGGCCATATATATAGATTATTTTTGTACGAAACATTTACATTACAGTTTTTACTTTTGTTCAAAATCATTTATAATCAAATACTATTTACAAATTAGCATGTAATGTATATGATAATTGACGTATTGCTTAAAAATTGTGTAGCTTCTGCGTTCAGTAGTTAGAACTTTTTAATATATTTTAATTTATACTTATCTCTTGTTACTTAATAAATTGTCATTTTAATTTCATATGTCCGCGCGTGATATGTGAGGATACATAGGTTTATTTTCTTATATCAATCATCTAAAATACATACTTCTAATTTTAATCCTCTAGGGCATCTAAGCTTGTAATGCCTACTATTAAAACGATGTAAAATTGCAAATCACCATTTATTTTTATATTTTTTGTATTCAACGGATAAAAATAAAACTGGAAAGTTTTGACACTTTCCGGCCTGTATTATTTTATTTTAAAGTCTTATCAACTCTTCTTTCTTCATAATTCGCATTTTATCGGAATAATGTATTTTAATTGTCAAAAGTACTTATGTCAACAATTGTCTTCTTATTTTTATCATAGAATTAAATGTGTCATTTTTATTAATTTTTCGTTTATTATTCAACCCATTTCTACCGCCTAACCTTTTACATTCAATCAGTTGTCAGAAGTTATTGAAATTTTCACTAACTGAACTAATGGGTGAATCTGTTCCAGTAAGTGTGTGTAGTGCGGAAGCTTCTTACAAACAATAATTTATTGCAATAATGCCTGCAAATACCTTCCTTCAAACTTCATTTTAATGGACATAAAAATAATGATACCGTTCAAAAAGTAAATGAAGTATTTAATTTTAAAGCAGTAAGTTTATAATTGATTTGAAAATACAATAATAACTCGGAGATACACTACTGTAAAAGAATCTGTCTTATGCTAATCAATGTCACAACAAACTTTCAAATAGCGTAGGATCCTGGTGGAAAAAAAGTGTGTGCGTGTAACCTTTACGCGCGATTGAAGTAAAACTTCTTTGGCGTTGACGGCATATATCACTGAAATGATTAAATATTTAGTAACGTCATAAGTATATGTCATATTTTAAAAATATGACACATACTTATGACGTCACTTCCATCAGAAAAAATCCGAGTTACTCCCTAGTCGCGCATAAAGAAGTTTTACTTCAAAATATATCTAATATTATCCAAATCAAACCTTTTTAGAAATTTTAATTCTACAAATTTTAATAAATCAACCTTACAACGCTACCTTTTAACGCGAATCCGGAAGATGTGGATTCTCATTCCTGCAGCTGCGAAAATCTTTGAGGACTTCGTGGCGCAATCGCCAAGGTATTGGCTTCGGCGTCGGGGTCGTGGGTTCGATTCCCACAAGGGACAACTATTTGTATAACCCACAGATATTTGTTTCGCATCTGGGTGTTTGTCCACGTGAAATTTATGTTTGTATAACATCCTTAAAACACCGGATAATGTTATCCTAAATTAAGGGCAATATTAAAAAAAAAAACAATGAATAATTATTTTTCTACAAATTTTAATGTTTCATCTAAGTGCAGACATTATCACTATAAAAGTAAAAATTTCAAATAGCAATATTGAAATCTCTCGTTCCGATTATCGTTGTATAAAACGATGGGTATTTGAAATCGTTTGCTGTAAGGGAAACAATAGATGCACCAAGCGTTTCTGATGCGAATAAAGCAATGTAGATACAATACGTTAATATTTTCGTCAGTGTGGCAATCAGCCTTTTAGCTTAGTTGTTAAAGCGTCTGTGCAAGAATCCGGAAGACGTGGGTACGACTTCTGCAGAGGCGAAAAACTGTCCATTTGTTACTCCAAATTTTAAAACGACAACATCAATATACAATATAGTTTTTCATTATTTAATCTACAGATATTTAATTTATTTTTACAAAAATTATACAGTAACTACTTACTTTACTATCTTTGCACTTGATACTTTTTTTTATTGTTTTACACATTTTCCATAGATCACGCTCTTTGACTCGAATGGAATGAATAGAGTTTAACAGAGATTGTCAAATATTGGAGTAGGAACCTTAAGTCTAAAATCGGTCAATTTATGAGCAGGCGTCGCCATTTTAGTCTGTATTCTATATATTGCAAATTAAACGTCCTAAGTACCAGACCATAAATTTTAAGATTGCGGATGTAAATTCAAATTCGAGCTGGGGTTCAATCACCAATGTTCTAAGTACTGGCAGGACTTGACCGGAACAGGGTTTGACACTAGGTTTCACTCAATACGTCTCAGGACTAATTATTATAATATTAGTATACAAATGTGTGTCGACTATTTAGAATTATTGGCAAGTCGGAACTCGTAAACCCAAAGTAATTCGTCACTAGAACATCGCAGTTCATGTTCGGTAAGTACTCATTGCCTTACAAGATACATGACAATCGTTTTTTTTTTATGAGAAAAAAGCAGCAAACGAGCAGGAGGCTCACCTGATGGTAAGTGATCACCGCCGCCCATGGACATCTGCAACACCAGAGGGCTCACAAATGCTTGGCCGGCCTTTTAAGAAAGAGTATGTACTCTTCTTGAAGGATTCCGACGGCAGCTGGTTCCGCAGAGTAATAGTGCGAGGCAGGAAATGCCTTAAAAATCGCGCTGCCGTGGAACGCTGGACATCGAGGTGGTGTGGGAAATTTTTGGTTTTGGCGCGATGTCCGATGGTGAAATTCAATCGTTCTAATAACTCACAGATTATGATCGCTTATATGATTATTTACTCGGTAACACTCGGAGGCACGCATGTGCGATCGCGAATGAACTGAAATCGACCTCATATCGCACGAATAGCCAAGACAGTTTTAGTTAAAGTGAAGACGAAGCGGGATATTTCGTATTTCGTATTTTTGGATATTTAAAATTAAATAACAGTTTTGTAACTCGTTTAACCTAAGTTTTAATGTTTTAGATAATAAATAAAAGTAAAGTAAAAGTAAGTAATAGCCTATATGTGACGCACGGCAATGAACTCCTCTGTATAGCGCATAGCCCACTACACTACACCACTGCGGACTGAAAGACTCCACATGTCTTCGAAACATTTTTTTTTATATTATTTCGAAAATATGCCAGGGATTCCTCATGTTTTCCTTCGCCCGCTGAGCACGTGATAAGTCGGCACTTAAATTAAAATTGACAGTTTCATTGATGCCGGCACTGGGGATTTAACTTAGGTTGCTAGAGTATACAGCGTGTCTTTACAATCGCGACAATAAATGAACACACATATAGAGGATAACTTTTTAAAATGGTATTAAACATTTTCAAGGTATGATTCTTTAAACATCAATATTTATAGAGTTATTAAATTTTCCAAAACAAAGAATTTTAGAACAGCCTTACGTATAAAACTGTAACGTAAAGTTCATTTGTAAAGGTCACCAAACATATGAATGGGTTGAATGAATTTAAACGAGACAAAACATACTGTTAGAAGGAGAGGCTTGTAATGCGACGCTGTGTCAATGAATGAAAAAGGCTCTCAATATATGAATCAGTCAGTTGTAGTTGTATAGGATGTTACAAATTTTGTTTCTTTTTTACATAATTAGTTTGTTTGAAAAATATTTTTTTTTGAATTATGGATTTTTTTAACGTTAATATTTTTTTATGATTGGCAAGTAGCGTTAGGCGTGTGTTCATTTATCGTTGGGATGGTAACGACACGCTATAAATAAAAGGGGTGCGAACACTGAAAGAAGAGAGCCTACTCCCACCTTAACCTGATGTTGCAAATATCCATGGGCGGCGGTGATAGTTTATCCTTAAGGTGACCCGCCTGCTTGTTTGCATTCTTTTCCCATTACAAATAACACAACAGAGGTAACACACCTCTTCGTAATGTGAAATCTGTAAAAATAATCTCATTTGGTAAGAAGTGAACACTTAGATGTTTTATTTTTCATAAAATTTATGCATTTAGTCCATTCTATTGAAATAAAGAATTGGATTTTCTCTCTTTCTGCTTGTACAAATCCATAAATAACAAACGAAACATTATCTTGTTTGCAGCAAGCTACATATTTTCTGTTTCGTCAATTAAACATTTTGTCCTCAACAAATGTGAACTGCTTATTCAATGTGGTAGCAGATCCACTTTTTTATTTATAACATTCTCCCAAACAATTCGCGCAACACTGGCATCCGTATCAGGGCAGCTGTATTTTTCATGAGGATGTTTGCGGCTGTAGTGTCTCAGAACATTCTGTTTATGCGAAAACAACCTCTTACAAACACCACATTTGAAGTGTTTCTCGTTTGTGTGTATACGCATGTGGTATTTGAGGCGAGACTCCATCGGAAACTTCTTGTTGCACACAGGACACTTTAACTGTTTTACTTTCTCGTGTCTCTGTTTGTGCTTTTGCATGTTATGCTTGTGAGAGAACAGCTTCCTGCAAATTGGACATGAGTAGGGTTTCTCTCCTGTATGAACTCGCATGTGAGGTTTTATAAGGCCCCTACATGCAAATTTCTTCTTACAAATCTTGCATGAGTATGGTTTATTGTTATTGTGGATCTGCATGTGGCGAATGATTGTTGATTTGCAATTGAAACTCCTTTTGCATATATCACAGCAATATATTTTTTCTACTGGAGGCTTATTTTCACAGGTCCTGTAATTTTTTGATTCAAATACTGTGCAAGTATTGCACAATATTGGTGTGTTCACTGGCTTATCACGTGACATATTGCCTTGGTGCTTAAATTCGCCTGCTATAAGGGGAGTTCTCTGATGGCACATTTCGCACTCTGAAAACATGAATATTACAATTGAATACCTGAACAGTCTAGATAAAATTCAAGTAATTCATCTTCAATATAATGAAAAGATGCATTGCTTACAGTTGAAGTTTGACATTTTTTTTATTAACATTTGTAAAAAAAATGGATGATTTATGCCCGATTTCACCAACAACCCCTAAACAATCACATAGGTGGGGGATCCCTAAGCGTCCCCTAAAAGAGTCCCCTAAAGTATCCCATAACTAAATTTGCTTTTCTACAACGTAACAGGCCCCTAACTAGTGGACCCCTCCATAAGTGACACATTTTTTACAACAGTAGCACCCAACTAAAAGTTACTTACGGATTTCATTGAAAGTTTTTAGTTTTAAGTAAAAACAATGTAATAAAATTTATTTTAAGGAACATACATTGTTTTATATTTTAATTACACCGTTTTCCATCAATTGTGTAAAAAAAATTCTCAAATTTTTATTTTCCCTTTGACTATTCACCATATTGTCGGATAAGTAAGCGAAGTTTTATCGGTAATTTAATGGTGTTAGTTTGACTTGATCACTTGGAGCAAGTTCGACTCGACGTAATCGAAACCATTTCTAGTTTCTAGTTTCTACTATTTGAATCATCTTTGAGTAAGTGTTCTGTGATTTGAATTTAATTTAATTAGCGACATAGTTAGTAATTTCTAAAAAGAACACTGGCCAAAGGTTGTCTCGTTCTGTGAAAGCCGACAGAAGTTAATTATAAAATAGAAATGCATGTAATAAGAAGATAATAGGTTATAAAGTAATATTCATAATAAGCACATAAAACGTTATTGCACGAAACAAACAGCAGCAAGTATAGAACGACTGCAGACGTGCATCGTAAGAATGCCACATGTCGTGTTTTGAAAAAGCCGACAGCGAGCGCTGTCCGAAATTAATTATACAATAGAGGTGCAATAAAGACATAAGAGTGCTCGAAACAAATTTAATTTCAATTAATATCAAATATAGTATCAATGGTCTCTAAATTATCAAGAAAACCAAATAAATCACTGTCTATCTTGTTCTCTTGAAATTACTTTTAGTTATGGGATAGTTTATAAGGCCATTATACATCCTCCTAAATTAAGCAGACTGTTTAGTAAATAAGTGACCCCTAAATATTGCTGAAATGAAAATGCTCCCCTACGCGAAAGTCCCCTAAGTTTGCTAAAGGGCTCTATAAATCTTAGGGGTCATTTGTGAAATCAAGCATAAGTAATTTAAGCTTTATTAGTAATTTAGCTCACCCTGAATATAGCTTTGATTTGTTGAGATTACATGTGGTACTGGTAATATTGTTATTTTAAATTCTTTCACCTGAAATAAAATATTTTTATCAATGGCAAAAAACATTATTATTTATACTATTCATATTGTTCATTCATACAGAATTTTGAGTTAATTGTCAGATTTATTTATGTAAACAATAATTACATACATTATCTTTATCTGATGTCACTTGTGTCATAGAAGACTCTTTTTTACATACAAGAGAAGGAGTATATTTGGAGTACTCATGTATTGAAATATTTTGTGGAATGTCCTTGGAAATTGAATGCGTAGAAACAAAATTCTCCCTAAAAGAGACTTCATGATCCGTATGAGGTTCTTCTTTAACACTGGAATCATCATAAAGAATATTTTAAACTGCAAATATAATTCAATATTGATCTGAAGAGGTAAAATAACTGAAACATAAGACCATTACAATACACTTTTAATTATCTTTCTTAACTGAACTTAACAAAATTTATTCACACATTGTGCTCATATTCAATATATATAAATTAAACATTTAGTATTTTTTCATTAAATATATGTAAATTCTACTTAATTATATGTAACAAACTACGTTCTATAAAATATTTTTCAATATTCTCTGATGATTAAGGTAGTTTAATACAAAAAGTTGATTTATATTTGAATTTATTATATCGATTAGATAAGTAAAAGTACCTGCTTAAATCTCTAACATCAAATTCACATTTAATATTCACGAATTCTGGACACATAACCTCGTTATTTTCAGTTTTAATGTTTTGAGGATACTTTGACGATTTATTACACTCTTCGTGGGCATCCTTAAATTCACTTTTAATAAACATTATATAAAATTAACAGAACCCAAATACACTAACTGTTATTGTGATAAATATTGGCTATTTGTTATTGTTATTTGTAAAATGTACAATCAATTGTACATAAACATGTATGTTATATTTTTTTTTATTAGTTTAACGGCCCTGGAATCGAGTCCTTTAGGCTAAACATATAAATATATATATTGAGCATAGGGCTGCCAACTATTTTTGAGACAAATAAAGTTTCACATTTATCATTCATGTAGATAAAAAAAATAGTCTTTGTCAAAATATTATGTATTTCTAATTTTGAAGATATATTTTTGTATGCTTCAAGCACACACTCACAGTTTTTTACTACACTTAAATTATTGGAAGCTATCTTTATATTTCCAATTTAAATTTAAATAAAAAAAAGCAAATCGGTTCATCGCTAAACTATCAGCTATGAGGCGTTCATCATGAATTATCATGCGAAAAAGATCTTTATTTCTTTTTTAGAAATTAATTTCAAGATAAGTTTATTTATTTCATTATCAACAATAATTATACACACAGCCGATAGTATACTTCTAATCTTGCGATAAATTGAATGGGATAATATTGGGAAAATGTTGTAACAAATGAAAGCATTTCGCACTATATCAGTAAATATCCACAAGTAACTCAAGCTTTTAGCTTTTTGCTGTTCTATACAATTTAATTTTTGTTTGGCAATAGAGTAAAATTTACAAGTTTATCACATACTTTAATGCCTCTCTTTTAACACTTCCGCTTTAGATGAAAATAGGAAATCTAGTTAATCAACGAAGTATCAACATTACACCACCCATTAGAATTTCTTCGTCTATTCATACGTTTAAACATTATATACATATGCATTGGCCATGGTGGCGTAGGATAACTCCGCACTGAATGAAGTGATGATCTGTGTAAATAAATGTGCGGGAAGGCGATGAATGCAGAGTGCGGCTGGTGGTTTAGGATCGTGCGTCGTGGCAGATTATGATCATTTAAACATATATATGTCTGATTTGCGTCGAAGTGTCAATCAGCCATTTATTTCAGTTAAAGCGTATAGGCACGAGTCCGAAAGACGTGGGCTCAATTCCCGCAGAGGCGAAAAACTTTTTGTCTTTTTTTCTACAAATATTAATATTTAATTTTAAGTGCAGAGATTAGCACTACAAAAATTTTATTTCATATAGCAGCATACGCAGCATCTTTCGTTCGAATTATCGTTGTAAACCGATATTTGAAATATTTTGTTTGCTGTAAAGCACATAACAATAGATGCGCCATTAATTGCCCGAAGTGTGAAAAAAACAATGTAGATCTAACGACACTGACATTTTGGCCCACGTGACAATCAGTCGTATAGCTCAATGGTTAAAGCGTCGGGGCGTCTTCTTGTATCTTCTTGTATTAACTGATGTTTTTGCTTTCAGTCCCGAGACTATTAAAGCTTCATCTGACGCAGAACCGGTGGGCTAGCCAGAACCCACGGGTTTGGACCCTCCGCTGTGGGTAGGGCCACGCATGTGCTCATGCGTGTGCGTTTAACTATGGTGTGTCATCTAAGGGCCATCCCGGTCGCGGTTCGGACCGAAATCCTGGTGGCCGTCGACTGTGCAATTAGCTAGTCGGTGGCTGGGGGCGGTGAGAACCGACCCGGAACGCGGGTGTACCTTGTGTACGCGTTGTGTTGGTCTCGCCGTGCTCGGAGGCGAGGGCGAACTAGTGTGTTTGTTGTTGCACTAACTGTGGGTGTAGTGTTGTCCGGCGGGACCCCCGGCGGTGGGTCCGGCGTATCTAAGTCCCCTTCCTCGACCGAGTCGATTAGGACGTTTCTCGGGCGACGCTTGTTGACGTTCGCGTTTGTGTCGGGTTGGTAATTTGCTGCGCTTACCACCAGAGGGTTGGGATGATTGTCGGCTCTATCGAAGAACCGTTTGGTAAGGTCTTTAAAATATTCGCGAATCGTCGGGAGTCTGCAATCGCCGTGCAGGTCGACGTTCCGTTGATACCACTGCGCACCGGTTGCGCGGCGGATGAACTTATTTTGTACTATTTGCAACTTGTACAAGCGAGTAGGGTGCGTGTGGGCGAAGGTCATGCATGCGTAAGACATGATAGGTCGTACGCAGGTCTTATATAATAATAATTTGTGCCTTAAGGGCATTTTACTTTTAGCGTTAGTTAAATTGTGTAGCCGGCCGGAGACGAACGCGGCTATATTGCGAACGTTATTAATGTGCGTAGTAAATGACATACGCGAGTCGAAAGTGACTCCTAAGTATTTGACCTTTTTCTCCCAGGGGAGCGGTTGGCCATAAAGGGCCATATATTTGCCCCAACTTTCTGCATTGACGAGGGCCATTATAAAGATGTGACGGGTAAGTACTTCGTGTGAAGTGAATCGCCTCACTCTTTTCGGGATTTATTTCTATTCTCCATTTGCGGAACCAATCGCCGAGGCGGTCGGCAGCGCTTTGGAGTCGAGTGGTTAGTATTCTAAGGTTGCGGTCTGAATAAAAGAGCCCCGTGTCATCCGCGAAAAGCGCGAGATTGACGTGGGGGTCTTTAGGTATATCGCTCGTGTAGAGCGTAAAGAGCAAAGGTGAGAGGCAGGAGCCTTGTGGTACGCCGGCCGTGAGGCGGCGGCTTGTGGAGAGGGTGCTTTCAATTCGATATCGAAAAGAGCGGTTCGACAGGAAGGCCCGGATGGTGTGTACGAGCCTATCTGGCACTTTGAGTGTGTACAGTTTGTAAAGCAAGCCGTTGTGCCAGACCTTGTCGAATGCTTTTGCGACATCGAAGAAAAGAGCCCCTGTAGTAATATGTTTAGCGTGATTTAGGCCTTTTAGGATATGTTCCGTTAGGCGGAATAGTTGATCGGGACAGGAATGTCTAGCTCGAAAGCCGAATTTTTCCGCCGGCAGAAGGCCGTTGGAAAACACGTGCTCATTGAGCATGTTTAATAAAAGCCGTTCGTAGAGCTTCCCCAGGCAACTGAGGAGGCTGATGGGACGATAACTAGAGGGCTGGTTGGCTGGTTTATTCGGCTTGCGAATGCCGATAACCCTGGGTTCTTTCCAGTCGTCCGGACAGGAGCAACTGGAGAGTAAAGTATTGTAAATGGTCGCCAGTAAACAGATAAGCGACCCAGGGAGAGCTTTAAGAATTTTGTTACTAATATAAATCTTGAACCTCTTCGGGGGTCACTGAATTCAAAGGATCGCCTTCCGGTGGAAGCGCAGCCCTAATCTCCCACCTCCGTTAGGTGGGCTGTATCGATGTGTTCGCGCGATGACGTATATTGCTGCTCTAGGTTGTCCGCAAGGCATTCGGCGGAGTCATCTAGGGCTACTGAAGCGCTATTAGGTCTAACTAACGGCGGTAGAGATTCGCGGGGGTCTGCTTTCAGACTGCGGGCCAACCGCCAGTAGGCGGTGTGCGATGGCTCGATGTCCTCTAGGAGAGTGTCCCACATTGTATGTCGGTGTTCCGATACACGATCTTTGACTTCTAGCTGAAGGCGTCGAAGTAGGGTTCGGTTCGATTCCGATCGGTATCGGTTGAAGGCGCGTTTGGCTGCATTTTTCTGTCTAATTAGCAGTCTTAGGTCGGGCGGAAAGTTAAACCGTCGGTCGCCCGACAGTTTCACCGTCCGTTCCGAGTCTGTGACTGCGGAAGTAATGGTTTCTCGGAGACTTGTTATCGCTCGATTTGCGTCATCGAACGTAGCTATCGTCTCGGGTAGGTCTACTAAGTCCTGAGGGTCCAAGGCCTTGAGTTTGACCTCAAGACGATGCCAGTCCACTACGGATTTGGTCTGAGGGACCGCGCCGGCGTTCTGGCCCAGTTTACATAGGACGGGCCTGTGATCTGAGTCTAGTTCATGGATTATCTCTATCGACTCGATGTCGAGCGAGACCTCTGATGACTAGGACACTCGGTGACGCGTGTTGGTAGTTGTCCACCGTAGGATACCTAGTGGGAGTCGCGGGAGCGACTATGCTAAAGTTTAGGTTATCGGATAAGCTAAAGAGATGCTTTCCGTTGTTATTTGGGATGCTGTTGGTGTCCCATGAGCCGTGTTTGCAGTTTAGATTTCCTGCAATTATCACGGAAGGGCCTAAGTTAAGTAGCGTATCTAGGTCGCTTTGAAGTAAGGTTCTATTCCCCGAGAGGTAGGCTGAGACTAGTACAGGCGGCCTATGGCCGGTGAGCGCTAACCTACACGCGGATGCCTCTATTTGACTTAGCTCTGGAATGTAGATTGGGCAACAGTGCAAGGACCTTTTATAGTAGATTAATTTGCCTCCCAGACGGTTTGCTAACCGGTCGTGGCGGAAAATATTGTAATTTGCGATCTGGGAATGCGTACACTAGGTTTTAAGAATGTCCCTTGCACTAGAAAAATATCTACGTTATAATCGCGAAGGAATTCCGCGATTTCGTCCCTTTGACCCTTTATGCCGTTTGCGTTGAAATACGAAACAACCAGAGCCCGAGGTTTTGTTCTACCTGCGGTTGTACTTCCCATTAAAGAGTTTTTATGGTTCTAATTAACGACGCGGCGGAGCGCGGTTTTATTGCGCGGACTATTATGTCTTTTTATGGTTAGCTCGTAAAAGCCCATAGGGCTTCTACAAGCGTCTTGTGTTCGGAAATTGCTCTAAGGCGCTCGTTGCCAGATGTGGCGGCCGCTATTTTAGCGGACAATACGGCGAGTTTCTGCCTATTGATACGGTCCGTCTGGGCGTGAATCCGGAAGACGTGGGTTCGATTCCACAGCGAATGTTTTTTCAACAGGGAATACTTTATTTCTTTTAGAATTTTTTCTTTATATTGTGTGATAGTCAGGATCGTGGACCTTTTTTACCTTATAGGTAATTATTTATATTCCAGTTGATTTTAACAAATAATAATATCCTTACTAATATTATAAACGCGAAAGTTTGTATGTATGGATGGATGTTTGTTACTCTTTCACGCAAATAGTACTGAATGGATTTTAATGAAACTTTACAATAATATAGCTTATACATCAGAATAAAACATAGGCTATAATTTATATACATATTTTATGTATATCTGTCTTTTTGTCTGAATGTTACGCCTTCAGCCTATTCTATGCAGACGTAGTCGCGGGGAGCAGCTAGTATTATATATGGATGTCGGTATGCGCTCGCATTGTAAAAAAATTTACACTCTTATTTTTTCCATACGCGCCAAAAGAAGTATAAAGTAAAAAAAAACATGATGTTAATTGACGTTAAAATACATCTCAATCATCTCATTACTTCTCATGAATTAAATCTCCTTATAGAATATTAAATTTTTCACAATTAACTTTGTGCACACCTCAGTATTACTCTAATACTCTATATATTCGAATTCGATGTTTTATGAATATCAAATAACAAAACAAGGAATCACTAAATAGGGAGTTCCCTAGCCCTGCCGTCATTTTGATTTAATTGGCATTCATTCATTAGCAAAGACAGTACTTTTATATTTATCATTTCATTATCTGTTCATTAGAATTTTAGAAAGACAACAAAACAATCAGTTAGTGCACAGAGTGCTTTTGTATATAGGGAAATAGAGGCTTAACTCAGTGGTTTTTTTTGAGTAACTATTAAAGCTAGCGCCATCTATATTTACAAGTTGTAAAAAATATTATATCAGCTGACCTTGACCTAGATTAGTATTAGTATTTTATTTTATTAGTAAGAGTCCTATCTCACAAAAAGAGTCCTATCTCACAAACAAGTCAATTTCTCACAAACAACGAGTCAATTTCTCCAACACAAAAAACGTTCGGGAACAAAACAAGAAGATTACACTAAAGCACGTACCGGAGGAGGGATCTCAACTCAACAGCACGTACCTGTGGGATGAAGGAAAATAAATCCACAGACACTGAGTAAGAGGGCGAGGAGCACTAGAACAATGCAAAAAGAAGGAAAATAAAATAAGGAAAGGACTACGAGGCGAGGTACGGCGAATTCGGCGACCACGACAGTTGTATTTTTAATTTGAAATTTCAATCAAGCAGGCTCAACAGTAAGATAACTACCAAGTTTTTTGGTAGAATTTTTTTTAAATTATTTTAAAGTAATTATTACAGGAAAGTTATATGTATTATACCTCTTAAAATAAGTAATACTACAATAGCACTGTATACGAAATGATAATGCTACAAAATAAAATAAATCCATTGCCAATAGCCTTTATTTTAAAACTACCATTTTGGAAATCATCAAATAAACTGGCTCAATTTAGATGGCTATAATGAGTATAAATTAAAGAGTTACAATACGACACTTGAAGTTTAGTACTTCGGAACTTTTGATTTTAGTAATTTATTAGCGATTTTAGCTCCATCTCTATTTCCCAGTTCTAAAATCATCAGTACTATACTACTAAATTAAAAAGGGTTGATTTGAACAATGATGATAGAGAATGAACATATCGTTTAAAATTCATATCCTTTTATTCTCCAGCGACCTGCCAGTTTGTTCTAAGATTAACGTCCCTGAGTTAGTGCCACAAGAGTAAAGTTGAAAATTAGTCATAAATTGTAGTATGAGTTGCCTCTTGTAATTATTTTTAGGTTTAAATATGGAAAAAACCACAAAAAAGCCAAAGGCAGAATTAATCGCAATTTACCGGTTGGAATTTTATAAAAAACAAAATAGTTGGAAATTAAACAAGGATATAAAACGTAAAAAATATAAGCTCGAGAAAAAGTAAGGTCTTATTGTTAATTTAATATTTTCTATATAAAATAAAATTAGAAAATATAAATATGGCCTCAAACTAACACATACATTGAAAATAACCCAAATTGTTATTTTATATTTGTTTGGTTTTTTTTCAAATCTTTGGCATTTGCAATCAAATTGTCTTTTATATTAAAAACATTTCAGAACTTCATATATATAGGATATTTCTTTTCAGAAATATATTTAATAAAACTTATGATGTAGATGAACCAAAAACACAATCATGTTTGCTTAATGAAGCCTTTGTAGAGACTGATTCTGGTTAGTATAACATTTCTTAAAATAAAAAAAAACTGATTTGCTGCAGCATTTTATAGTATGGAATATTTTTTCAAATATAGCAGGAGCAATCCTAAGCTACTTCTAAGTAGTGGTAGTGATGTGGTAGGTAGTATTTAAAAATGTATATCGATAAATGCAATTTATATTTCTTATTTCAATGAATAAATGATTCAATTTGAATAAATTAATGTTTTTGATTCAAACAATGTAAAATTCAATTACTATGAATGGCTTCCTACAATCATAAAGGTCTAATTGAGTCCTGGCAAAAATTTATTGATAATTGTAAATCAAACAGTTTGTTATTTGACAATTTAGAAGCTTTTATGAAATGACAAAAACATATTTTAACTCAGATATCTAGATAATATGGTCCATTTAGTAATTAAAAACCATAGGATTTTTTTTATCTTGGGAAGGAGAAACATCACTGATCAATAATTTTTTGGGGAAATTTTAAATTTAGTGAATGTAGTATTTAGTTTGAACATAGTGACTGGTGTTTTAATTAGTAATCTCATATGGGAAATCAATTTCTGCAAGTATTAAGCAACCAAAACCATATCTTAGGTATTATAATTTTACAAAATTTTTTAGATAAAGATAAAAGCAATCTACAGTCCCCCTCCACACCTACAAAATATGAATGCTTAAGTCATAACTACCCAACTACCCAACCACTCCAGAAACAAATTGAAAAATGCACAGATGCACAGCAATGGATTAACCCTGTTCTAAAATTTCAAGAAAAAGAATCTGAAAGTACTTGGGACAGAGAATGTTGGACTGCTGACCAAGATTGGCTAGATTTTCATAGTTACCCTGGACAGAGAGAAGGATATTGGGTAGATAGTAATGAAAATTGGATGCATACCTCAACATTTGATCAGCTTTGGTCTAAAGGTAACTGGTGTTATATCATACTTTAAATCTGAGACATTTTAAATTAGTAGGCTAGTTATAAATTTTAACCCTAATAAGGAAAACATAGATAAGTACTACTATTCTACAAACTTTAATATGCAGTGTGCAGTACTAGTACTCTCTATTACTTACTTATACTTCAAATAAAGTTTTATTTATCCTTGAGTATGCTTTAATTGTACATCATGCCCATTATTATTATAATTCATAACTTATGTTTTTGGCAGACGTGTCCCCAGCGATTAATGAATTAGATTGTGGTGACAATGCAGCAACCATTTTGTGCCACGCTGAAAACTGGCTTCAAAAGGATGATCACTTGTGGCTGCCAGATGAAGCGGATATCAACTGGATGAATGAGAATGTTATATGCTTTTTATGTGTTGATAAAAATATATGTAAAGTAGTTTTGAACTTAATCTGTAAGCCAGACAAACATACGTGTCTGTCTTAGAAGTATCATCAAAATATATTTCATTTCAGTACTATGACATTATTAAATTAAATCGTTAATAATATTGTTACAAGGTAAGGGTTGCGGGATGGAAGTGAAACACTGGTGTTGTAACCTTTACTTGAATTACAACCAAATACGTGTTCATGATCACTACTACAGGTGCAACGGCCCCCACGTTGTCGCCAATAATCCGGTACTTTTTCTCACTTGCTTCGAGTTGCGCCACTGAACTACCCTTCTAGCTTGTTGGGTTCTTCGGTACCGGATAAGTCACTGTTGGCCTTTAGAAGGCTGCTTGTTGGAAGTTTATTCACCTTATGGCGCAAGAAAAAGATAGCCCACTGTTGATTGATCTCAATCCTCCATTTCCGAAACCAGTGACTAATCATGATGGCTGCGGTGTGGAGGCATCTATGCCGATACACTCAGCGATCCTCAAACTGAAGGCCTGACGCGAAAACGCTGCCATTAAGGCTAGTTATAATTCTTTAATACGCGGCATTTCATTAGTGTAGAGCGTTTAGAGGACTGGGCCTAACACTGACCCTTGAGGCATTCCGACTCGAACGGGGCGGTCCAGCTTGTCGACGACGGTATAAACGTGATTTGTGAGAGCTCGAAATGCAGAATCCGTATTGTGCATAGAGATTATTCCGTTTGAAATCCAATCCAGGTAGGACGAGTTAGCTTCATTAAGCTTTTGGCCTTTACTTCATGCCTAATTGCTGTTCTAGTTGGGGAGAGGATTTTTTTTTTATGTGAGAAGGTGGCCAGCGATCTGGCGGTTCACCTAATGTTAAGTGATCGCTCAAGATAGCTGCCGCCCATGGAGCCTTTTAACAAAGTGGGCCCCTGCGTCGTCACACGTCCACTTCACGCCGGTCTTCTATGACGCCGTGGTACTTCCACGGTCGAACTTGCCCGCCCCTGGCAACAGCTTCGGCTGCCTTTTTTTTTTGGTATCGGGGGGATATCTTCGTAAGATACCCTGCCATTTTGAGACAGGGTTATGTGGGGTTCCCACTAAAACCCCCTCGGTGGACACCTGTACGTTTGGAGGGACTCCGGGATCTCCTACGGAACGCACCGGTGTCCCTCGGTACTGGGCGTGAGCACGCCTCGGAGAAGGGTGAACCTTCCCCGATTCCCTCGCCATCTTGCAGCAGCTCGAGGCCACTTCGAGCTGCTGCCAATCCGTGTCCCCTTTTAGTCGCCTTTTACGACAGGCAGGAGATGCCTTAGTCCTATTCTACGAGCCCGGAACTACAGGGCAGAGCTTCGGCTGCCTAGCCGGGGCCCACTTTATTAAAAGGCGGCATCGCTTCTGCTGCCAAGCGGGTGTCGCAAATTTCCATGGGCGGCGGTTATCACTTAATATGTGATAAAACGCCACCTTCTAACATATTGCTTTTTAGTTTATACTATCAGCTTAATACCGTTATTTTGAAACGTTTTAGATGCTTTTATGCGCCGAGACCGAGGGAAGTGCTAAAAGCGAAGAGTCCGCTGACAGCTGGTTGGAGTTCATGCGTGGCGCTGACATTGCACCCCATTCCTCGAAGATCGTGCTGACTTTACCAGAAGGCGAGTATTATAATCAGCAAGAAAAAAAAAACAATCGACTACCTTTGATATTACGGTCCTAACACCAGCTACTGGCGTCCCGCTGTCCGAAATCCCCCCTCATTTTGTTAATGCACGTATGTCCACATGGGTAACTCTTTTTAAGTAGGGTCCGTTGAATGGAGGTGACAGTGTTGCGTCACTGTCTCCCTGTAAGTATGCGACAGAGACCGCAACAGGCGGCTTCCTGCTTTCAAATAAAAAATGTATTTCCCCGCGGTCAGTAAAAAAAAATTGTATACGTCCCCGTTGACGGCTCCGAAATTTTTGGATGGTTGGTTTGGTTTTTAAAATATTTAAGTAGAAATTATACCGAAGGATGTTATTAACATATTGATGTTTTTCAGCTTTTCCTTTCTTTATTTTCTCTATTTTTTATTTTATCTGTATTTTTGTTCTTATTACTTTATTGATCCTTCTAGTGAACATGTAATATTTGCACACTTGAATATGAGTAGAATATACTAAATATTATTTAAGTAATAGTAATTAAAATCTTATCATGTACCTATATTTCGCAAAAATTTAAAATTGTAAAAAGAACTTGACGATAAGTTCTTCGCCGTTGCGGTAATCGAAATTACGTCTTTCGGATTCGCGCCCAGATGCTTTCGCCAATTAGCTAAACAGCTCTACAAATTTTAATGTTTCATCATAAGTGAAGAGATAAGCACTATAAAAATTGGAACATTAACAGCGTTAAGCGAGGTCGATGTATGCGGGGATTCCCTGGCGCGTTTGTCGTCTGAGCAACTGAAAGAGGCAGTAAGGGCACACTCGTTTGTTCTGCGCAGGCTGCTTAGCGAGGAGACTGAACGGCGGGTGAGCTATATTAATTATAGTTATAATAGACTATTTTCTAATTTCGAGGTTAAAAGTTTAAGGTCTCTGAATTCATATAAAACAATATAATGTTGTATTATGATAAAGTAAGAGTAGAAAAGTCTGGACTTAGTCCATAAATTAATCATTCTTAGAAACGAAACTGTCTGTAAAAAAAAAAAGATTTTTCGTTGAATTGTCGTTTAAAATGTCTCAGGGGCTGTCTTATATTCACAAAACGCCGACTCAAAATAACATCGGCTTATCTGCTCTAGCTTACAAAGAACGCACATATTTTTAGAGTGCGCAAAACTTCTTTGCAACTCAATTCGTCTAAATCATTGCGCAGTACAGGGGAACTAATCTACCGTTCGGTTTACATTCCCCCCGTTTTCAATTCGCTTGCTGTCCCACTCTCATTAGACGCGGGTCTACAGTTGAGCACAACGCTGTATTTCAATTTCATGGACATCTTCATCATTTCAAGATGTTCAATCCACTGCTAAAAATAGGCCACATCCCAGTCATACTGCTACGAAAACACAATTTTGAGCCACCTGCATCCATCGACTTCCAGCACATTTGCCCAGGCCCTCACTCACCCATAGCTATGCATTGAGCGCTGTCCTTGAATGCGCATATGTAGAGGTCCAGTCTGCGGGTAATATGGATGCGAAACCACCCGAATGGTCACCGCTATTGGTGCATGAGTAGTATCAATGATTGGATGTTTAGTGAAAAGTTCGCATCGGCATTGGTCACGGGTCCAGCGTCCCTCATAGTATAGACCACGGTCTGACATACAGGTGCAACTCAAACAACGTGCAAAACAAACTCCAGGTGGCGCGGCGATCGAGGGTTGCATTAACATGACCTACATTTTTAAATCTGATGCTCGTTATATGTAATGTACTTACCGTGTTGATTTCGTTCACATTTTTGGATTGTATTTGTGTGTTGTGAATAATAAACGAAGAATCATCAAGCAACCATGTCATCTTTCTCGCACCGGGAAGCCATCGATCGTGTTACGAGCCCCATGTCGAAACAGAGTTGTAAGACTGTAGTACTGACACGCAGTTGCGCGTGTATAACTTTTTAGTCAAACTCGAGATCCGTGCTGAACTGTGCACTACCACTACTACAGCGTCCATTTCTACAGCGCATCCGTTCATGTCTCTCTCTGAGCGGGCGCTCGGTGGAGCGGCCCGTGTTCGCGCCGCGCCCCGCCACCGACTGCAGCAGCTGCGACGAGCAGCCCACGCGCGACTTCGACCCCTCGCTTCATAGCCACACGGGCGGTAATCCCTTGCACCGCGAGAGGACGTTCGCGATGGCGGCCGAAGATATGTTCCTCGCCGGATCCCATAGGAACGCGGATCTGGAAGTGTTGGGCAGGGGCAGGGGGCGTTTGCAAAGCGCCAGAGGGCGCGACAGTCGTGACGTGATTATAGGGATTGGTAGAGGGCGGCCGTTTAGACAGGCATGAGAAAAGGGTGTTAATTATAAAAACTACAACGTTGACCACCGTGTAAAGAGAAACGCTATATTTTGCGAACACCGCTAGTGACTGAGTTTATTTTTTTGTATTACATACAAATTGTCATAGCGCCGTTACCGTCATATTTCGATGGGTTGTCTTCGGTTTTTTCTTACTAAGAAATATGTGCATGGTGATTTATTGCTCACAATACATTTGTTAATTATGATTGTGAGTACAGTTCTAAATCGTAGCTTTTGTTTTTATGTTCGTGTTCTAACAGATTCTCAACTCATAAGTTTAGTAAATTTCAAAGTTGACTTTGAAATTTTTGTATTATCAAGAGACTCGACTGCTGTGATAAACCACTAAATTAGTACTACTGACGTAATGTTTATAATTATCCCTTTAGTTGGTAAATTTAGATAACAATCGATAATGCGGGACATTATTATAGACCCAAATAAAATTTAAGAGATGGTTTCTATTTACGAGGCATTAATAATATTAAACCACTATTTTTCGAGCATGCATAGAATATTTTAAATAAGTTTATACTTTATCGTCTTATAATTTAAGGAAGATTCTTCATGAAAAGAATTTTTTGATTAGCGACTTCGATAGTAGACTATATGATTTCCCCCGATTACTTAATTGGAAATAACTACAAAGTCCGATGTTTTCATTAAAGCTTCGTCAACATTATTTACAAAAAGGATCTTGGCTATCTCGATGAAAATAATATATTTTCTTATAAACATGAAATGTATTTTATTTATGTGCATCAAAACAGCCCCTATGCATTTAACCTTCAGTATTTCGACAATTACATAATAATTCTATTGCTATAAATTTTCGATACTATGCATTATTTATTACTCATCAATTAAAATCTCGCATGTAAAAAAAAAAAAAACAAAAATAACAAACAATATTAAAAACTCATTTACACATATAGAAAAAAATGAAATGACTATTCTATTATTTTTTGGCAAACGAGCAAGTAGTTCACCTGATGTTAAGTGAATACCAGCGCATGGACATCTACAACAACGGAGGGGATTGCGATGCGATGCCAATCAATGAATAGTGAACTCAGTGAACTCACCCATCAGACACGCCTGCCTATCATACAACAGCAGAACCTGCTCCATGGCTCTACACATTCATTTGATGGTGTGAATATGTAGAATGTAAATATACTATAATACCGCACTGGGAAAACTAAAAATATTTATCACTGTTAAATAGATTTTTAATATGCAAACATTATAGAACTAATCACATGAAACATTGTGTCATGATCACCACAATAAAAACAGACATTAATGACAAATAACAATACAATGGACCTTAGTAATTTTTTAAATAAAACTCAAGTAATTCTACTGATAAACATTAATATTAAACTAAACCTGTAACATAAATATTACACTATTAAAATGCGAAAAACGTATCGTCGTAAAATATAACAAATTTTCATGCAGAATGAATTGCAGAACATTTCAACAGACCAGATCTAATAAGTGATATATTAATTAATGTATAAAAATATTTTTCGTCAATAGTGGCAAACATAAGCTTTAAAAACATTCAATGATTAAATTAGATTAAGAATTATGCGAAGTAATGATATATCAACATTAGTTAACTAGTTAGTCAACCAATCTAATATAGAACATAGAAAGAAACAGTATTATAAACAATTTTTCATGGTCAGTAACAGTCTCATTTTTCAACTGTCAAAAGGTCAATGATCCACGAGTACTTGCCATATAGCATGGATAGCGACTACGGAACCTAGATGGCGTGATTCTAGAGAGCGAATTAAGGAACCATTACGTAAAATTACAGCCATTTATGTTGTTAACATGTACGGTATCGCTATCCTAGAAAACCGGAGTGAGGGGACCATGAGTACCATTTTTTAAATCAGAAGGCAATTAATCTCGCAAACAAAAGTGACATATTCTTTCTATAACTAATAAGATTCTTAAGTATTAATATTATGTTTTAGTTAATTTACTTAAGATATTATGACATTGAGCATAGAGGCAATCACAACAAAGGCCAAAAGTATCAATCCTAATAAGGTATACATCTGACATTTCCATATAACTACCTATCTAAATTAATAATACATTCAAATACCATATTATGATAGGCCACAAACAGTTTGAAACCTTTCGTAGTTTAACAAAAAAATAAGATAATTAAGTCAGCTCAAAATATTAAGTGATTGACCAACAATCATTACTTATATATAGAACAACAATTTCCTCGAGAACGCATTATTTTAAAATATTAAACAAGTTACAATTAGACCATTCTGTAGCAACCTATGTACAAAATTTAAATTGGGAGACATAGAGTTAGCTGGCTTCAGCCAAAAGTAATTTTTTTCTGGTTTAAAACTATCATGGAGTCATTTTTCGTTATTATATCCTGTTCAGCGCTTTCCATCAGTAGTTCAATTTTTCATAAGATTAATTCATGTTGGATCATAGTGTGATGATTTTGGGAAAGCAAAGGAAAGGTAAAGAAATAGAAGTAGTATCTCGTCAAAATAAAAAAGTACTTAGTCTTAAAATAATATGGGTTCAGAAAATGTTGGAAATGTGTTATTTATGTAAGTAAAAACAAACATTGAATTTCCATTCATATCGTTGGCAACATGTGATGCTGGTACAATGTAAAATGGACGGAATTTCTTAGTAATAGTAATCAGTCTCATGAAATTTTCTTAAGTTTGCATAGCACAATACAAAGCAGAGGCATGCACGTATTCCTCAAAGGTGAAAATTGAGATATTATATACAGATGATTATTAATTTTTTTATGTACATTTAAAATACATATTTTATATATCCATATAAAAATCACAAAGTAGTTTGGCTTCATGTTCAACCAAACAAATACATAGTATATACTATATGAGTCTAATAAAAAGAGCTATTAATGTCAAAATAATGAAGTAATTACACATAATAATCACAAGTAATGCACACGAAAAACTTAAATGCGCTATTAAAGTTCTTCCAAGTTATTGTACTTGACTTGGAAGTGTCACTCTAAATCGCTTTCTATCTTAGCTGCTACCACAAGTTGTTGGGTTTTATAAACATTTTCTTTAGTGATTGTTTTGTCATGTGACTTTACTGTTCAAACTGTAGCCGTACTAGACCTCCTGGCTGACGCTATCTGAAGACCCTGAGGACTCGTCCTCCCCAGGTACGTTGAGCTTGGTAGTGTTGTGACGCTCGAACGTCGGACTGCCGATCTGAGATTTCCTCCAGTTCTCTATGGAACGCGATATGTTCACCGGTATGCCCAACTCTCCCAGCAAATGTCTGCAAATTTAATACACAATGCTCACGCCTGCGCTCTACAGGGGTGGACGGACGAGGCGCTTAATTTTGCACGATACCGACACACCTTTCGCCACTACATCTGTACGGTAAACGAAAATCTCAATAAACATCAAGCCTCCACTAATGAAATTTATTACGAGTCGAGAAGTGAAGTGTCTCGAATTTTGATTCATAATACTCGAACCACAGGGTTCAGGGTTTGTTCGAAGCAATATTTGTTATTCTCTTTTAATACAGGTTGTCCCAAATATACCTATTTTCACTTGAATATCGAACTCCGTGGCGCAATTTCCAAGGTGTTGGATTCGGCGTCGGTGGTCCTGGGTTCAATCCCAACACGGTACAACTATCTTCTTCTCGGTCTTCACAACATAGGATAATGTTATAATACAGTAAGGGCAATGTTTTAAAAAAGAAGAAAAATGATAACCACTCACGCTATGTCGTCGCCGTTCCGTCTCCAGTTGAAGAATTCTTCGCCGAGGTTGAAGGTGAGGTTGCTCTTCATCACCAGCTTCACCGGCGGCTTGTCGGCGCCATATGAAGGACCCGCCTCCACTTCGCTAGACATCTGCTGGAAACAGATACAAACACATATTTATTAGGTTTATTTTGGCTTATTTGGATTTATTAGTTTTATTTTGGCTTTACTAAAACAGGGCCACGCAACAGTTTTCGGTATTCCGTGAAAGCGCAGGTCCGTCCGTAGAAGTACCACGACAACAAAAAGACCGGCGGTCAAGTGGAAGTGTTAAACCACCTTATTAAAAGCTGGCAACGCACCCGCAACCCACCCGGTGGAGCAAATGTCCATGGGCGCCGGTTATCACTTAACATCAGCAAAAAAAAAACCGCAAATGAACCGCAAGCACGCTTACTATCTTCTTACAATAAAAAATCACTTACGAAAACAATAATTTCAAAACTCATCACATTTTCACACAATTATAATAAATATAAGATTTTTTTTTCTGAGTATTTACATTAAATAACATATAAAAAATGTTTAACAGATACAGCATATATCAAATTAAATTTATCTTTATAATATTAAAATTATCTCTATAAACAGTTCGACGTTTCATTATTATTTTATATTTTTTATTACGGATAGCCAGAAAGTGTCGGACGGTTTCTAAATTGATTCAGAAAAATCGTGTACATACAAATCAAGGCCAAAACTTACGCGTGACTTCTCCGCGCGCGGGTCGTTTTGCGTCTGCGTTCGTACAAACGGACGCCCGTGCTGTAGCCTCTGCAAAAGTACTCCCGGCGATGTATGCGGATGCTTGGAACCTGTTAAACATAATATGTGTGTTATAGTGTGGTACCTACACAAAAAGCTGTTTTATTAGTTCGCTCCAATAGATTACAAAAGTCTGGAAAATCCAAAATAACGCCTCTTAATTTTTAAGAAAAAAAAAAAAAAACGATTTCCATCATTGACTTCTTTTTTTAATTTAGATAATTTAAAAAAAGTGTGAATAGTGAACTGATTTTTATAGAAAGAAATATCAATAAACTACGGTACGTTAATAGAGTATTTTCATGTCTCATCACATTACATCTCGATACGCCCATGTTTTCAGGAGCTGATTTCATTTAAACTGTTCTCTTGAAACACATCTCAAATTATCGTATGAATGCCAATCGGTTGTGGTAAAGGCAGTTTAAGAGCAAAAAAATTGCTTGACTGACGTGTCGAGAGTAGAGCACAACCGCTTCGCTGTATGAGCCCTTCACGGAATATTAGACCGAACGTCGCCACGACATATGATACTATGAAACATCTAATACGGTGCGCGAAGCGTAATTTTTGTATCAAATTAATAAAAATGTTTATAAAATAAACTATCATCCTTTCCTTTAAAATAAAAATCTGTATTTTTAATTTTTGATTTGGCATAATTACTTCCTTTCATGCATATTATCTGTAAAAATTAGATATTTCACATCTGCTCGTCCCGTGACAACTCACTTTTATAGTTAAAAATATGTCGGATACCATCAGCCATCTCTGTCTAACCTAATGGAGTTAAAATGAGAGCTTGTATTCTTATTTTATTTTTATAGTTTTTTTTATGTGAGAAAGTGGCAAACGAGCTGGGGGTTCACCTGATATTAAGCGATAACCGCCTGCCCATGGACATTTGTAACACCTGTAGGGTTGCAGATGCGTTGCCACCTCTTAATAATGTGGGCCCCGGCTACCTCACTCACCAGCAGAAGTGTAGCATCTACTTTACGCCGGTCATCTGTGAGGTCATGGTACTAACCCACATGGATCTGCCCATTCGTGCAACAGCGAACACTTGCGTGGCCCTACCACCGCCAGTGTGATTTACTCTACTAATCTCTAGGTATATGGATGTTGGTCTTCGTGGTTATATGATATACTTACCGTGCTGCTGATGGTGGTCTGTCTCGATGTTAATCGTCATCGCTCCATCCTTGTCTTCCGCCGACCAGGCCCTGTCGTACTTTTCAGAGTAATCGTCCCAGTGCTGCGCCCTATGCATTAATACGTCAACAGTTTAGAGCGGGTGTAGCTAATGTCTAATTTCTTATTATAGTCTTTCGTACACTGGATCTGACAGTGTCTTTATGCTAAATAATAATAATTAATAAAATATTATCGGACATATTTTTACACAACGTTCTTCAGTCCTTAGTTTGGGACTGCTTGATATGGGTAACGCTTGTATTATGGGTACTAGAATACTGATAAACATACATAAACAAATACAAATTATGTATTATATAAATTAATTATAATAACTATGTAATAAATAACATAAATTATGTAAATAAATACAAATTATACATATATAAACACCTAGACACTGGAAAAACACTATGTTCATCACACAATATTTTTCCAGTAGTGGGGATCGAATCCACCATCTGGCGCAAGAGGCAGATCCCCACGCCAATCGTCAAATCGCTAAAGGAAATGTCCTGAAGTAGAGATGATCCTTTGATAGAAGTAAAAGTGACAATTTTCCTCCACTTTGTGATCACATACACTAGATACTGCTTAATTTTGAATATTAATTAAATGAAATATGCATATTTTTTCGAAGTCATGTCAAGTCCGCAAATCCGCAGCGTGGAGTATACCTCATATATAGACCATAATACCCTCTGTACAGAGGCCTTTGCTTAGCAGTGGGACATACATAGTCCATTACTTTACTGTATTTAGTTATTAAAATTAATTTGTATTTAAAATTCACTACTATTTGTACTGTAATCAAATTTCATATTAATAATATTCGTGAACCTAGTTCTGGAATGATAGATGATGACGGAGGAGATACGCACTCTTCCGCATCCGTTTCCGTTTCCGCTTAAATTTTATTTCGATATCTCTTTCTGATTCTACTTCCGTTGGGCCACTTCAGCGGCGGATGTTGGAAGGAGAATCACTAGTTGACACTCACCTTTTCTGAGGGTCCACGAGGGGTGAATCCTCGATGTCGTCGGGTCGGTAAGCTGGTGCGGGCGCGGGGGTGGTTCTCTTGCGTTTGCGTTTCCGTTTTATAGTCTTCGTCTGCGAAATACAATGGCATTCAATAAATTAATTATACTTCAACGTACCACCTTACGGTAAATAAATAAATTATAAATATTTCAAGACTAATTTTTACACGGCTTTCTCTAGTGCTGAGCTAAGGAATGCTTGTACTATGGGAACTAGATATCCGATAATAAAACAAACATACTTTTGTTTTGTAAATAAATACATATTATAGATATATAAAACACTCGGAAACTGGAAAAACACTATTTTCATCACACTACAATTTGCAGTGGGGATCGAACCCACACCCTTCGGCGCAAGGGACATGTTCACTATCCACTATGCAAATCAATAGTGGCAGTAGTATACTTATATATTTGTATCTAGTTATTATTCAGTTAATCAACAGCTTATATAGAACTTAATATGTGAGATGTATTAGTAGTTATAGTATGTAGTCATATAAGAACAATAAATTCAATAATAGATTACTGCAAGTTTAAAGAGCGGAGTATATCAAAAGTAAAATAACAACCTACATATATCTCACTGCTGGGAAAAGACCTTTGTAAGGAGGGTATTAGGGCATAGTCCAACACGCCACTCTGCGGATTGGCGGATTATTCGTTTAGAGGTCAAGCGGCAATGGAACATAAAATCGTGAACAGCCACCTTCGAAGGTTCGGTGTTGCTCCCCAGCGGTTTCACCTCGACGAACTCCTCGACGATGATCTTGTTCCCCTGCGACGCCTGAGGGTCGTAGCTGGCCACCTCCTCGTTGAGAGTGCCCACAGCTTCCGGCGGCCGCTGATCTTCCGACACCAGGCGGCCAGGCTTCACGTTCTGGACGTTCCAAGGCTGCTGGTCGACGCATAAGGGGTTCGTTTACGAGCGATTTTTTTTGAGTTCATGCAATTTGAGTAGCGGTTTGAGCATTCGATAGATCGGGTTAGATTAATAAATAACATTACAACACAATAAATGTAAGAGACGTAATATACGTATAATCTTAGATAAGACAATCGTGTAATTGCTACAAACATGCATTGACATAGCTCGATTATACGATTATATAGTCGATATAATTCATGCTCAAAAATTTCAAATGAAAGGAATTATGAAATAGCGGCTGAAAAAACTGAATTTCAGCGTCATAGTCGCAGAAGCGTATTAGCCGTTTTCGGTTGACCTACATAAAGAAGTCACCATCATCATCATCATTTCAGCCTGTTTGAGTCTACTGCTGTACATGGGCCCCCCCCAATAGACTGCCACGAATTACGATCCTGAGCCACCTGCATCCATCGACTTCCCGCACATTTGCACACGAAGTCACCAAGATATGTCCATATACGGACACGACCCCCACAACCTATGTATTACTATGTTTATAGTAAAAGTAAGAAAAGCGAAAGTTGTCGGAAATCGTATTTAATCATCGCTTTATACTGTGCCTTGAATAACGGGCCCAATGAAATAAACTAACAGCGTTGATGGTAATTAAATGAATAACAAAATAGAGCAACAACAGTTAATAAATTCCATTATTATTTTAATGCATGTTGTTTAGTTAGAGGCAGAGAGAGCGAGTCGCTATGAGTCGAATAGAGAGGGCATAACGCATTTTTCTTATGTAACGATTTTTACCAACTTTACAACCTTCCGTAAGGCACATGAGGATTCTACATGTACGTATGCGAGGAGTCTATTTTCTTATGTTTACGGGAACGCGAAAATATTTATCGTATTATCACATTTTTTACACACTGATTAATAACTTAAAACACTAACGATGGCCTGTGTTAACAATGACATTCATACGTCTAATGCCTAAGAATTAAAAATATCGTCAACAGTTGCATTTCATTTAGGTAATTAATAAGGAAGCTGTAGGAGCGTTTACCAGCAAATTAGGCGTTTGTCCTATCTGGGGATTTATTAGGGCTGGCGGTCTTGGCGTGTTCGGTTCCGCTGGCAAATCCCGCAAGTCCAGTTTCTTTAGCACCTTCTCAGCCTTCTGGTCTTTGCCTATCTCGGTCACCTTGTTCCGTTCGAAAACTCGACCGTTGTTTATCACCTGCAAGGGACAAAATATCCATTCCTGAATGTACCAAAAGTCAAAATCACGCTGGCAAACAGTCGACCAATCCTGTCTATGGTTTTTATGATATTTGCAAGAGAACAACATCGTTTTTTTTTAATTATTTTCATGCATAATAAACATTTCATATAATTTCACTGTGGCAGGGCCTCACGGGCAGCTTCTGCTGTTGCAGGAATGGGCAGGACTCACAGAAGACCGGCGTGAAGTGTAGTATTACACTTTCGCGTTTCGTCTGGTGAGTTAGGTACCGCCGCTCAATTTTTTATGACTTGCAACGCATCTACTACCTCCTTTTTTTGGTATTGGGGGGAGGGGGGGGGGGGGTAATTTTCAAAAGATACTCCGTCATTACATGACTCTCCTCGGTACTGCACGTGATAAATCTAACTGATAAACCTTCCCCGATTCCCTCGCCATCTTGCAACAAAACTCGACGACTGAAGCCTCCCCACTTCCATCGCAGCTTCGTTATTGTCTATAGCTTGTGCTCCTGCAGAAATAATATTGCCGACGCTCGCAGAGGTAACACACGAAATTCTTCCTGATCCTCGACCGAATATTAGTTTACATAGCATATAATTGCTATTATACCTTGACGTCGTTATTGTTCAGAACCGTAACGAGGTCCCGGACGAAGGAGTTGTTCGGGTAGAGGCGTCGGTGCTTGCAATGTATGTCCGCTTCGAGGTGTTCCTCCGTGCCGTTGGGCAGAGCGCGCACCAACGTCAGTATGAACTTGTTCTTCTTCTTGCTGCGCCTCTTCGTCTTCTTGTCGCGCCTCTTCGACTTGCCGTGCGCCCTTCGCGTCTCTGGGACCTCGCTCGCCTCTTCCGCCTCTTTCGCCTCTCTCGCCTCTTTCGCCTCGTTCGTCGTCTCGTAGGAGAGCAGCGAACGCGATTTCCGTCTGCGAATGCGATCCCTTAATGAGTAAATTGCCGTTATTAATTTTTAGTACTAGTCTCTACAATTAAGATGAAACTTTAAATTATATTATAATGGAAGACGCAGTTTCGAATCCCGTACTCTATAGCCAGCCAGTATCACTACCGTGAAACCTCTTCTCTATTAAAGAAGTAAAGATAATTCTGTAAGAGGGAATAATAACTCACCGCTGTCCTCTCAACCGCTGCAGCTTCAACTCTTGCTCGCTAGGTTCGACGTCATCTGTGGCGTGCGACATTCGAATTAATACCGATTGCAACTGTTATACGCAAGTTAAGTCAGTGCAAATTAACGGTTCCTGACAAAACGAATTTGTAAATAACGTAAAGTAGACGCCGCGCCATGCTCTTCAGGTATTTGGTTCTCTTCAGAAAGATATTTAAAGAAGGGGGAGTAAAAAATTCTTCATATAAATAAGCCACATTTGGACTCGTCTATTATTTAGGACATCCCCAAACATGGCATACCTCATTTTTCGTTACTTTAGAATAACTATAGGTATCTCATAGTAAGACTGACGTTATTATTGACTGACTTCACTGTACCGAAAGATGATGAAGAGATCTCACCGAGATTCGGAACAATTATGTGGGTCACACAAACTTGTCCCATGTGGGAGTCGAACCCACGACCCAGGGCTCTGAAGCCACAAGTAGAACGTCAACAACTTCTTAACAACTAGAATACTAGGACAGCATGTCTCAGTAGAAGCTTCGCCCGTTCTAAAGCGCAAGTGCTGGCGTCCTTGAGAAGCTTGTCTACCACTCAGCGCGTTGCCGTACTGGAGTGTCTCCACCCGCCGATTGGGCCCACTTGTGGACACGTACTGGAGTGGAGGAAGCCGTTGTCCTCGCTGAAGTCGATGAGCCAGCGCTGCGCGGGCGAGTCGGTGCGGCAACGTCGCGCCGCCACGTCCGCGCCGGCCAGCGAGCCCGCCTCCAGGCAGAGCCCGCTCTCCACGTGCTGCAGCTGCTTGCTGCTCAGGTAGCGCCATTTCTGGAGCGGCAACATGCGGGAACACGGTCTTAAGCGGCGAACGGTCAAACTTCAAAGAGAAACGGCCAAACTTTAAAGTTATAAGTTTTAATATTAAATTCACATCGTAAAGTATAGCATATCAGTGTAATCAGAAGACCTTGTACTTCAGGACCGCAAGAACTTTGCGACCTTCAAGGGGGGAGCCTATTTGTAAGCGTTACATTCTCTATATTGCCCATCTAAGCAAATAAGAGCAGTGGAAAAACTCTGTACCTGCCCCCGAGTTTTCTCATGGCATGACACCATCAGCACGTGTCGACCGTCGCTATCGGCCTCTTCTTCTGGGGTCCGTCTGTGCGAGATGAAAAACAAATATCAATTAAATAAAGAATATTTAAGAGTAGACCAATGGAAATATTAATTGACGTGAAATTAAATCTACTACCACTTGTGAGTAACATTCAATTGATGAGACAATCCCAATGCAACATTAAGTTTTTAAAAGGTTGATGACGCGCCTGCACCTCTTCTGGTGTTGTAAATGGTGCAGAAACTTAAAAATATAATACACATGCAAAACTACATGTATGTGTACACACACTCTTCAATAACGCATGCACAAAACATCGTGTACGTGCAAACACGCACACACGCGTACCTTGAAAGATTCGCACATCAATAACAATACACATACACCAACACATACTTATACGTATACGCGCAAACCACAAACATACGTATATGTGCAATCACGCACACACGCGCACGTCGAAAGAGTGTGTCGCACCTGGTGTACTGCAGCTTGGCGCACTTCTCCTCGTCTCGCAGCTGGCCCGTGAGCGAGAGCGAGAGGTACTGAGTAGCCTGCAGCGTGTCGTGGCAGGGGTACACGCCCAGGGGGGTAGCCTCCCCTTCCCGCTGCAAGGTGTCCAGGCAAAGGCCGCTCGACGGATTCACGAACCTGGACGAAATGGCGACTTCTTTAGGGACTCCGAGCCGGTGAACAGTGTCTGGGTGATCGTTTTTAACTCGTAAGTACTATTGTATAAGTAGTACATAGAGTTAAAAACGATGACTGTACGCACAACCTTTAAGACTCTTTTTTGAGCGGTCAGGGGCCTAGTACAAGCATTTTTCAGAATAGAGGGAAAACCTTCAAATGAGTTAAATATTTCAGGACATATTTTTTAAACAACGTTTACCCATACTAAGCAAAGCTTTTCTTATTTTCAACGCGTTTTCTCTAGTTCGAACTAGTTTTCTTTGTTGCAACTAGAATTCACTGGTTTTCAAAAATTTATATCCGTGCAAACTATTTCTAACTAGACAAAACGCGTTTTGTCGAAATGATTCAGATAAAAATGTTTTAGCCGAGATGAAAGTTTCATTTAATATATAATTTTGTTACACATTATCTTGACACATTTTGGTCCGAGTGTCTAAAAAGGTTCGCATCATGGATGCAAGACAACTTGTTTCGAATGATTGGAACAATCAATGGAAAATTCGACACTTCATTCTGGTACTAAACAGTCACCATACAAAGGGTTTGCTCTGTAGAGTTGCCCCTGTAAATGATTATGGATGTACTAGTTAAAGATAAATTGGCGCCGAAGCCCATACCTTAGCAACTGAAATCATCATTAAAGATCACCGTTGTCAATTTGATAGTTTATAGAGTTTCATAAATACGCTCAGCAGCTTACCTGCCAAAGCCGTACACGTCTCGTACGGGAACGAATTTCTCCTTGTAAACGTGGTCCAGGTACCACTGGAAGCTTTTGCACTGCAGCTTTTCTCGAAGGATCCGCCTGTGCGTCACGTCGCCTATGCTCGGGTTTTTCTGTTCACACAAGACGCTGTGTTAATTCAGAATTGTGAAACTAGCTTTAGTAGGCCCACGGAACGCGGAATGTACGTGTAAGGAAGTGTGTTATATTTGGGCGTTTCGTCTGGTGAGTGAGCAGCCGCGGCCCCCTTTATTTAAAGGTCGCGTCTGCAACCCTACGGTTGTTGCAAATGTCCATGGTTAAAGTTTGACTATAACAATTAATATAAACAATACACCTTTGTTTAACGTTATTTAAGCACGAACATAAATTTTACATAATATTATATGTTATACATTAAGGGAATTCAATAATATCGCCTATAAACGCAGCTAGCGTTGTGTGGTTAATGAGTGAAAAAGTACCTTAGCCCCATAAATAAATGTGATTTTCTTTATAAAACTGATTGCTGTTTTAAGTTTGTATCGAATAAAGCAGAATAGTAGTTAGTAAATTTTAATTTTTACAAGATCCTTGTTCGTTTGCGATATTTTTATTAAAATTTTGTTTCTGGAACTTAAATATACTATATATTGTGTTCCATGCTTTAATGCCAGTCACATCGGAATTTTAAACCTTTTTTACACGTTGACTGATAGTCGCTGGAATTCGAATCTTAGCCAGTGTCCCATGTAAACTCAAGACCTAGCCTGGGATATTTTGTCTGTCTTCGCATAACGTGTTTGTGTAACATTACTTACCCTTAAATCCGGCCGATGTAAATAGAACAGCTCCGCGTAGTCGTCCATCCACACTTCGGCCATACGCGCCGTGTTGATTCCTACCATAGGACGAAATTAAATGGAGTTAATAATTGATTTAATATAAGAGACTAACATTCGAGTAAGAGGCCGACGAGCCGACAGCCCGAGAGTGTGTCCTTTCTTTCAAAAGTGAGAAAAAGAAAGACAGAGTTTTCCCTCTCTCTCTCTCTTCTCCCTAATGGTATGCTTATTCCAAGCATTCGCTGCTCACGGGGTAATAAATTGTGGACAGCGAGTGTTTGTCAATAGTAGTATAAATTTTGGTTAGTTTAGGACTATATAACGTTTTGTAAAAATATATCCCGAAATATTTATTTATACAATAGATTATATATCTAATATATAAAATTCTCGTGTCACGGGGTTCGAACTTGAACTCCTACGAAACGGCTCGACCGATTTTTACCAAATTTTATATGCGTATTCAGTAGGTCTGAGAATCGGCTACTATCTATTTTTCGTCCCCCTAAATGTTAAGGGGGTAGTCCACCCCTAACTTTTTTTTATTTTTTATATAATACTTTTAGTTTCTATTTTTTTATGACACAGCGTACAAAAATACATAAACACCTAACACACACCCTAAATTTTCACCCCTCTACGCAGAGGTAGTCGCGGGCAGCAGCTAGTATACATATATTATTTATATGTGTTTGAATTATTTGTTTTGAAAAATTAAATAACTCAGGAAATAGTAATGTTTAATGAAAATAAATGTTTACAATTTTAAAAAGTTATCCTTTATGTGTGATTATTTAAGGTCGCGGTGGTGCTACGGCATACCTAACTCGGAAAATATCTCGCAGATTACTTGCGCATAGCAGACTTTTATATATTATAAATATATAAAAGTCCTGATATATGTATCACATAATAATGCCACATGACCTTAAGTGTTGTCAAAGCACCTATAACTTATAAAATTTTGAGGTTACTCATGCGCGGCGGCCATCGATATATCGAGCAGATACAGAAAATCGGAAATTTCCAAAGTTTGTGCTGAAATAAATTATTACCATGTGTATCAGACTGCATTGGCAGTCCGTATGGGTGGAAGTTGCGGAAAACGTGACCAACACGGGAACAGGGTATGGTCTCCAGGGTCCCTCCACCTTTAGTAAAGAAAAAAAAAAAACTATAGCTTCCGCAAAAGTTTGAATTATACGGAGTGAAGTGTTTTGAAGTCATAACGCAGTAGGTTGTGGTATCGGAAAGTCTGTATGCGGGGTGCGGCGGACGAGTATTGTTTTCTCGCTCGCAACGTAGTCTAAATCGCTATCTGTCTTTATCCCACTACATGGTGTATAGACTCCAAGTTGGAAAGGCAATATGCGGGGTGCGGCGGATGAGTATTGCTTCCTCGTTCGCACCGTAGTTTAAATCGCTTTCCGTCTTGCTCCCACTACATGGTGTATTGATGCAAACAGAGTCCATAGCACCGCGAAAGTTCTCTCAATTTTTAACTCGATTTGGGTAAACAGTAATGTTCAGAAGTTTGCGTATCCATAACAATAAATGATTAAGTATCAGTCCTGTCCGAATGACTCTTCTTAGCACAGTAGTAGCGCCATCTATTGTTCACTAGTTGAATTTCAGCTCATAGACTAGTCTGTTGCGAGTAATACGAGTATTATCCCTATGACGGTGGATAGCATACATACTATATTCTAGCAATCGTATTGTTGTATGAGCACTATTGTTTGGTATGGCAGAGATCGTTATTTGACATACACTGCCATATCCTGAAGGACATTTCGAGATTCTCGCCGCCCCAGCCCGCCATCTGCTCATCGTAGGCGCCCAGCTCCCAGAAGTAGGCGCGGTTCATGGCGAAAAGCCCACCCGCCATAGTCGGAGACCTAGTCAGCATGGTAAACATCGATAAGTTTTTTCAAAGAGTAGCAGAACAGCGGTTCTTTGTAGCTCTACAAATTGTTCCACCGCAAAAGTTTAAGGTTAGTTTTTGTGATATAAAGTGGCGAAAGGAACTAGGGATATACCTTACGCTAAGTGATGCTATGAACAATCATACGCAACAGCAATGGCGCTGAAGGCGTTTATTATATTACGTTATCAAGCTTTAAGATAGGCTGTCAGTCCTCACTCAAGAGACTCAACGTAAAAGTATAAATACTTAATACAATATACATATACATAGTATAAATATTTACTATTTCCTTAGGACAAAAGCCAGCAGTAGCTCTTGGCTTCAGCACTAAAGGTAGCAGGTTCGATTCCCACACGGGTCTAGTATTTGTTTGAACCACAGATGATTGTTCCGAATCCGGTTGTTTGTTCCCAAGTGGGGTTGACGTCGGAATTAACCAGAAAAATGGAAAACATGTAATAGAAATGGGGTATTTCTTGGGGGCGTCGTTCAGGACTGGATTGATGTAAACAAAATGTGATGGTTAGGAAGAAGACCAAGGAGTTTGTGTTTTAACATTATGTAGACCAAACAACACATGTAATAAGATGTCAAGTGAGCTAGCGGTTCACCTGATGTTAAGTGATAACCGCCGCCCATGGACATTTCAACACCCGCAGGGTCGCAGATACGTTGCCAACGTATAATAAAGTGGGCCCCAGCGGTAGCTGTATGATATTCGGTGAGTTAGGTAGGTAACTCAGCGAAAGAAACGCAGAAGTTTGACGCTTCCACTGATTATTTACATATTTCCCCGGACGGAACTGCCCATTTGTACAACAGCGAAATGTTGCGTGACCCTACGAACGAAGGAATGAGACATTAAGAACACCTGTTCTTTTGTACTATTTAAAGGTTTTGAAATAGATGTTTACGCCTCATGTTTTGAATGTTTGGTGATTAAAGCAGTTAATACACTTGCCACGTAGGCGAAATGTTGGAACCGCGTCGCTTCTTCTCTCTCTCGGGCACCTCTATCCAGGTGAAGTGTCCCATAAAAGTGAACCCTCCCACCTGCAAACAACGAATCGTTAAACTAACCGGGTAAGGGAATTACAGCATTTCATTAGTTTTTAACGCTATAAGATGAAGAGTTTCTTGTATACATTGTAAGGTCTTGGACAAACAACGACAGTTTATAAACGAAGGTTAAGTCTGACTTAGTCGGTCTTAGGGCTGTTTAAAAATGTTTATCAAATAGTGGTTTGTTTTCAATTAATATATGTTGGAACAATGCTGCCAGCCTTCAATGTTAGGCCTCAGCCATTTTCCAGTAGGTAGAATCAATGGGACAGATCATAATAGGTTGTCATTAAATAGACAGTCTTTTTACTTTACAATTAACGACTCTAGATAAATTTATAGCTAGATTTGATGCTCGTATCACTGGTTGAATGAGAAAAAACTCTAGAGATATAAGACAACTAAGAAAAGATATAAGACAATAAAGAAGACTATAAAACAGCATTTACAAATACATGGCAAAAGACCAAGCGTGACCAATATTACATGCAAAACCAAAATCATGTTAGTAGCGAGGGTCAAATATATTCTACGTTAGTAGCTACTGCAAACTACAATGGCTAAGTAGTAACTAAAAAAACACAACGACAAAGAAATTCACGAAGTAAAAGATAGTATACAAATCTATATTTTCTTTTTCAAACGTGAAAGGTGAAAGGTGTATCTCATTTATAGCTGTTGTTTGAAGTCTTTTTTTTTTATTTCTATTGGTTAATAAACTGTCTAAAGTGTATAATGTGCTTCTTACCGAATGATATTTGTTGCTTAGTTTGCTTGTTGGAAATGTTAAGCTTTATCTTACTTAACAGTATATTGTGTGCGGTGTGTTTTTAAAACGGGATCGTTGACATTGACTGATGACTGAAAATGAGTGAATTTTTAAAAGGAACTTGCGCCAGAGCCGGCGTACGGAACGCTAAGTATAATCAAACTTGAAAGGTGGGCATTTATATGTATTTATACATTTCTATGTATTCTCGACGAGAAAACATATTATAGGAATATTTTTTGTTGCGTATATAAAAACAAATAAATAGGAGCAGAACGTTTTGAGACTTCCAAGCGTTATATTAACGTGATTTGAATTGAACAACAAGATGGTAAGCAGCCGATAATTTAATTAACCATTTTCTTTGTTAATCTTATGCATCATCATCATCATCATATCAGCCGTAGGACGTCCACTGCTGAACATAGGCCTCCCCCATTGACTTCCACATCGACCGGTCGTTCGCGGCCTGTATCCAACGCGTCCTTGCGATCTTGGCTAGGTCGTCCGTCCACCTTGTGGGAGCCTTCCTACGTCACCACGTGGTCTCCACTCGCGAACCTTTTTGCCACAACGGCCATCGGTTCTATTTTAGGCTGTCTTTTTCCAAACTCTACTAAATTATTTAGTTACATAGTCTACTGAATACTGTACTAAATATTTTCATAGGTATCGAATTAAAGAGAAAATCCAACGTCTGTCCTCTAGTCTGTAGACTATGTAACTAAATAATTTAGTAGACTTTGAAAAAAGACCTAAAATAGACCAAACTGGCACTGTGCCTCACAATCTTATTTCTATATCGGATACTGAAATTTCGACTGAGATCGAGCAATATCGTAAAAACAAGCTTTTATTCATTAAATAATAATAGTGAGGCAGCCTATATATTATTTCGGAAATATGCAGGTTTCTCAAGACGTTTTCCTTCACCGCTGAGCACGTTACCATAAACTACGTTTCCCCCTTTTATATTGAACCTACACCTCAAAATGTGGAGGTACCCGCCCCCTCGTTACACTATAACTAAAATCATGCTTATCGAGGCAGTCATTGACCGAAACTAATGTAAACTGTGACCATTCGCTATCAGCTAACAGTTGGCGACGTGTGTAATTAATTACGGCATTTCAAGACGTTGCGTGCACTGGACGTACGTCGAACACGCACGATGCCATCACCGTCAAATATCGAGCTAATTAATTCTCTTGTTAGTTTCACGTGGGCGATAAGCTTGTTATGTTTCCACGCCGCAGCGTTACTAAGCAGCGTTTCTCAAACTTTGTTTCTTATCCCCAGGTTAAATAATGCGGTTTTATGGAGGAAAATTAACATGACTCCATATCTGGTGATTTAATCTCACAGTCGGCGGATAGATTTGAAATGCCGGATCGGAACTCGCAAACAGTTTGAGAAACGCTGCGCTCGACTGCGAGAAGCGTTTCGCGGGACGGTCTCCGCGCAACCTGAAAGTGCTCGGCGGCGTCCAGTCGGAACGTGGCCTGGTCGATCACGTCTATCAGCGGCGTCAGCACCGCGTCCCGTTTGTGGCGGATCCTCTGCAGCAGCGGCCGGAGCCAGTCCGCCCCGGCCTCACAGTGCGCGTCCAGGAACACCAGGACGTCACCCCTAGCCGCCCTCGCGCCGTTCATTCGAGCGCGCATGAGCCCTTGCCTGCGAACCGTCTCTCCACCCTCAGATCGCGCCCTGCTCTACGCCGAAACCTTCCCACACACGTCGCGTCATATTCGCACCGCACTGATGAATTTAACGCTAAACGTTCAGCCCATATTCACAACACACCGATCGTAATACAAAAAATTAAGCCCTTATTCACACCACACCGATACGTTCGCCGCTCAACAAGTTCAACCTTCATTTATTCACACCTCACCGATACGTTCGTCGCTTAATAAGTTCAGCCTTTATTATTCACACCAAAGCGATCGTTACACAAAAGTTAAGCCCGTATTCGCACCACGCCGAAAAATTCGGCGCTCATCAAGTTTTAACTTTCATTTATTCACACCGGTCATTACACAACAAATAAAGCCCATATTCGCACCACACTGATAAATTTAGCGCTCAACACCACACCGATACATTCGCCACTCAACAACTTCAGCCTATATTCACAATTTCACACCACAGCGATCGTTACTCCACTGGTTCCTCAATAAGTTCACGTCTACTCGCGTGTCTGTGCAAAACCAAGGCGTTACACACCCCAAAATTATGGGAAAGCTATCGCAATAAAAGCTTTGGCAGCAATTACAACAAGCGATAAACCAAGTTCTTCTTATTATAGTTTTTAAATTCAACATCGAAAAGCGAATATGTATTAAGAACTTCAAATAAAATCATGTTTTTTCGACAACACCTCCATCCATCCAATCCACCGTACCGTCCTTTAACCTTAACGGGGTAAAGAACGATAGCTAATTCTATACACGTCTTACTGAACTTATTCTACAGGTTGCAACTCGTGTCGCACATAAGTCACACGTCACACAAACGTGACACGGTGATTCATTACGAAAGAAAACTGTTCAAGCCCCGGGATTCAAACCCGCGTCCACAATGGTGTAAGTCTCGACCACTCAGCCGTCGTATTGTATTGACCTACCACACAAATATACAGCCATAAAGAAAAGAAAAGGAATCATTGCAGTGTGAATCTACAAACAATTTCACAAAAAAAAAGAAACGTATAGAAGCGACACATCCAGCCCACAGAAACACTTGACGTAGTGAAACGGAAGCCGAAAAGAAAACAATTAGAGGGGGAATAATACAAGCGGTGCGACACGTGACAGGGCACGCGACAAGCAAGCGACGGTGGGTGAAACACGTGAATCAGAAAAAATGGCAACAGACGAACACAGAGTATTAGATTGTGACCAATTGTCCCTTGATGATTCCTTCTACATCCACGTAAATAATACACACTGTTTGAAACTTTTTACGGATTTCGTCGCATTTAACCACCAGCTTCAGGTCATATAATTCATAATATTAACTCCAAACACATCGATACTGTAGGCTAGAAATGTATAAATCGCACGAAATGAAGTTCATTACATAAAAAAATAATATTAGAGCGTATAAAATCTCAAGCTGGACTCTGTAAAGTTAAAATTGTCTCATCGGGATTTAAAAATTTAATAATAATTAAACGCGAAAAATCCGCAAAACAGTTTTAAACAAATGTTCCTTTTTGCCTTTTCAGAAAATGTAAATTACTGAACTTCAGTAATCTACATTTTTACGTGTTAACCAATCAACGCAAAAAATTTGCGACTCCTGTAAACTTTTAAACTGACGCTCTCAAACAAAGGCAATGGTACGTATGATGATAGAAGGGATGATTCAGGAAACAGTTGGTTGAGACTCCCGAACAGCTGCCGCACCTGAAACGCCTCCGGGTCCTGCACGCTATAGTAGAAATTCCCGGACTCGATCACGTCAATGATCGGTACCAGGACGCTCTTGGGGGACTCCTTGATACGCTGCAGCATCGGCCTAAGCCAGTCCGGCTGGGCCTCGCAGTGGGCGTCCAGAAACACGAGTACATCGCCTTGCGCGTACCGAGCCCCCGCCAACCGAGCTCTCGTGAGACCGACGCTAGATAGAATACAAACACGTTGCAGGAATTTCACTTCTCTTTCGCTAAACGGGCCGACTATATCATCATCATCATCATCATCATCATTACAGCCTCAGCCTGTTTGAAACCAATGTTTCATGCCCCCACAAACTCCGCTAAGCACGATCCTGAGCCACCTACATCCATCGCCTTCCCACACACTTTCACAGTTCGTCACTCCATCTAGTTGGGGGTAGTCCTACACTACGATGGCAAATACCAGCCTACCGCTCGAGAACTTATCTTGCCAATGTAATTATCATTTCTTCAAGCTATAAGTCCGATCCATTGCCAACTATATCCGACTATGTAACGACATGTAACGCTGAGTTGATCATAACGAATTCGACAGTCGTTGATTTATTATTATAATTTATGTCTAAAGACGGTGAATGAGCCAGATGATAATTGATTACCACCCCATCTGTGGACAGCTTCATCGCCCGTGAGGATTCAGATGCATTATTAAGTACATATCATAATAATACTTATACTTCAAGATGGTCTTCCGTGAAGCCGTGGGTGAGTACGCAGACGAGCCTGCCCATTATTGTAACATACTATATAGAATTATTTAATCTACTGCAATTAATACAGAACTTAAGTGCTTATGAATGTTTGCAGTATTTATGTACCTGTTTGTAATATCTACAATTTTGTGTTTTTGGTGTGCAATAAATATTTTTTCCATAAACCTATTATTAAATGTATATGAAGTAATTAAATCTTGCCACAATCAAATTTAGTATGTAGTATGATTGTCTAAACAGAAGTAGCTATAGATTGCGACCATAATGTATGTACCACAGTTAACAAAAATTTAAGGGTGATTGTTATTGCTTAGAATGTTCGTTGCGAATGGATCGTAAAACGCTAAAATGAAATACGATGGAAAACTTTAACTAACGTATGGTACTGAAGTAATCGTTAATTCTTACCATGAAACGTATTTCAATAGTGATTGGAATAAACTAAATGATTTATCTAAAACCGACGAAACCGTTCAGAAGTATGATTTGGCGGCAACGTCGTACCCATTATGAAAAATAGTGAATCTAACAATGCTATGTATCAACACACGACCAGAATCGCACTCCGAAGAGCGTTCACCTCGAAGTCGTCGTTCCCCGGTTGATATTCCAGGGTGTCTGATTCCAGCATATCTATGACCGGTGTGACCACTGCAGTCCTATTCTCCTTGATCCGTTGCAGTAGAGGCCTAAGCCAGTCTTCGTTGGCCTCGCAATGCGAGTCTAAGAAGACTAGAACGTCAGCGGTTGCATTTCGACTTCCTGCTAGTCGGGCTCGTGTCAAACCCACCCTGGGTTTTATTGCATCATTGAATAAATTTTATAATAATGCCCAGTATTTTTATTAAAAAAAAAAAGAGGATATACCAGATGAATTTCAGCACTTTGCACTTTGCACGTTTTATCAAATAATGATTAATGTGTAATTTTAAAGTATAAAGTATAACAATTTTTTCACAATTAACATTAAAATTGTAACACATAATGTTTATTAAGATAATTTATTTTCCGAAACAGTGATGGAATAATGTTCTGATTTATTAGATTTAGCAGCCAACACCTAATAGATGAACAGTATCGTCGAGATTTTTAATTTTATAATTATCATTTTTATATTTATTAACTTGTTAAATAGATTATTTTTCCAACTACAGATAAAAATACAATTAAAAATACTCACCGATCAGGTAATCTTAGTATTCGTATGAGGTCTGGTGGGAGACGCGTTCGTATGTAATGACTGAGTTTTCCTTTTAGTTCGGGAAGTGTGGAATTATCGTCAACCAGTATGATTTCTTTTAGGTACACAAATGGAGAAGTTGGGTTCTGTCCTGGGTATCCTATAAGAAATATAATAAGAATAAAAAAGAGGGGTTTTTAAGCCAAATAAGATAATGAAACAAGGGTAATAGAATTTGATTGATCTAACATATACAATACCTATTTTAATTCGACCTAAAATACAGTAGAAATTGAATTATATACACAATATTAAGAACCTAATTAGAAGAAATGCATTCACATGATATAGACATAGGTAAAAATTAATATAGGGCCATTTTACAATAATGTGAATGTGAACAGATTACTCTATAGCTTAGTGGTTAAGGCTATTAGTATCAGCCTGCATATGGTTTAAGTATAAATAATTGTTTCCAATTTTTCAGTACAACCTAGGATACATTTAGGATAGAATAAGAAATTTAAATAATCTTCTTTCTTTGCCCTTATCTCACATAGGTGGGGTTGGCAAAACATGTGAATCATGTTGTTAATGGTATTTGATAGGTTTTTTTACTACTGGCCACCAGCCTGACGACAACCCTTGAGAATAAAAATCCAGACCGGGAACAATTATCTATGGCTCACACAACCCCCGGAAGTCATAAGCTTAGCAAAGGCGCCACAGCGCCATTTGAAAAAAAAAATTATATTGCTTGTGTTTAGCAATTTCATTACAAAATTGTCATAATGAATAAGAAAGATTACTAACCAATGTCATTGTGATTGAGATAAGGTAGACAAAATAATTGAATTGTATGCATAGAGAAAAGTTTTAAAGATATTGAACATACCCAAATTCATAGATTTTCCAGTTGATCTGTCTATATAGTTGGCATGCCTGTACCATGGCTGATCTCGACGTGCGCTGTTCACCACACTCCATAAAGTTCGGATGACAACAGAATATGGTTCATTATGGAAGATTATGATCACAGAAGCAGATGGCAACTCTGCATCATATATAACACGGGTACATGCAGGGTTGCGATGATCTATTGAAAGATAAACAATGCGAAGATGGATACATATCTCAATGCAATTGTATAGCTCTACCTCAAGTTTGTATATATATCAAAAAAAATAATTTACTTTATATCTGCGTCACTCAGTAAGTTGTCTGGTAGAGTATGTCTCTGACATAAAATACTTCTATATACAAGATTTGTGTAACAATGAAATAAATAAATATTTACTATGCCAGATAATTTTATACTTAGAACTAATTGTGGTAAAAGTCTCAAGTAATTGTCACTACCCAAACATAGAGTACCAATCTCTATCTTATAATTCATTGTAATTAATTTTAATAAATAATCAAATAGAGAAGAACACAAATATCAAAGATGAACTTTTAAAACTAGACTAGGAATAATGCCTAATTTATTTATGTTAAATCTAAATTATTTTAAGGTATTTGAGAAGTAAATGTTCAGAATATTACTTTTTTTTTATTGAGACAATGGTAAGCAAGTTGTTGGTGTTTGTAGAGTTTCAGATGCATTGCCACCTTTTAATAAATTGGGCCCAATTTCCTCACTCACCAGATGAAATGCAGAAGTATAACACTTCAACTTCATGGCGGTCTTCTGTGAGGTTGTGGTACTTCCCCGGATGGGAAATAACCTACCTGCCAATTCATGCAACAGCAAACTGTTGCATGGCCACTACCCCAAACTTTTACTTACAAAAGAAAAAAACTTGCAATAGTAAACAAGACCTTATACTACCAGTTTTGTTGGAAAAAATATGTTTAAAACTAATGATTAACTAATTAAAAGCATTAATAAATACATAATGAGTTAAGGCTGGAACAAATTAATTTTATGGTAATGCTCGAACAAAAAAACTTGATTAGCTTAGGTAAATATAAGGTATATAGAATTTAGGTTAAATAATAAATAAAGGTCATGAAATTAATTTATGAAATAATTACTACTTCATCATTCATAGAATCATCGAATAACTGACACGGAGTTTAAATTTAATTGAAAAATATTTCATTAAAATGATTATATTAAACAAGATGGTTATGGATTAACCTCAAGATGTATCTACAATGGTTATATTACTGCATCAATAAGTCGATCTAACAGGACTTTTACATATAACGTTACCTTTTAAAGTTCTGTTATACGCGATTCGGTCGCTTAAGTAAACGTTGATAGCTAATGCTTTTTCGGACTCTTCACCGAGACGCTGCGCTTCGCCAACCAAATGGGCTGCAACTCCACCCTCACCTAGCCCTGGAATAATCCGTGCTTCGTCTTCCAAAATTTGTTTTTCAAATTCATCTTGAACTAATTCTAAGTTCTGGGCGCGCGCTGATCTTTTGCCACCACGCCATTGTTCAAACAACGTCAGAATTGTAACAATTAATACTAAAAATATACTTAATTTAACCACATAATAACATTTACGAAGTGGAAAATTCATTTTATAATAAATTTCATAAAATCTTAAACTACACAGCCGGAGCAGCGAACGATTGACTTTGACGTTTCGCTGTTTACAGTTTCAGTTCTTAAACAGGAAAGTCAAACATAAACAATTTCATTCAGCCTTATCTCTCTCGAATTTTTTATTTAATGTATGTATTTGTAAACATGACTGAACTTACTTTGTACTCAAAACGCTCTATTATCCATGTACATTTGGACATAACCATTCACAAATTATTGACTAACCTAGGTTAATCACAGAGGATAAGAAGTTAAAGGTTTTTCTCTACATATGGGATAGCGTTATTTACATGAATTGAGCAGTCAAATAAATTTTAACTGTCCACATATACTTAACATTATAAATTTTTTCCGTTTTATGTTAGTAAGTAAAAGAAACTTCCGGTTTACCCGATGTTAAAAGATAACCGGCGTCCATGGACACTACAACACCGGTAGCGTTACCTTTTGAAGCGCGCCCCGGTGACCTCACTCACTAGCTAAACGAAGTATAAAACTTCCATTTCATGCCGGTCTTCTGTGAGGTAATTTCCCGGATGGGCGTGCCCATTTGTGTAAAGACTAAATTTTAGTTTACTTTTTTTATGTGAAAAGTTAACAAGCAAGCTGGTGTTTCAGCTGATGTTAAGTGATTACAAACCCACATGGACATCTAGAACACTTGATGGATTACAGACGCGTTGCCAACCATTAAAAAAAATGGATGCCAGTTACCTCGTTGACCAGACGAATCGTGAGAGTGTAATATCACATCACCCTAGTCTTCGGCTAGGCCGTTTAAATGTTTAACGAGGATATTAACATTATTAAAAGGGCTACTTAGTAAAGGGAGTTAGAAAAAAATTATAACTCATAAAAGCATACTTTTTATTACAGGATTACCATATTTTACACTATAATCTTAAGTGTAAAAAAATTATCTACATATGGAATGCATGTGAAAATAGTAATATATACGTTTGTCAGTTATAAAAATATATTGTTTAAAAAAAGCTTTGCGTCTTAATCTCAGTCACTTATTTAGATCACTTATGTAGTGAAACTTCAAACTATTTTAATATTGTAAGATATAATAATCAAACATTAGGGAAAATGTTAAGATGTTGTAATCCCAATAGATACAGAAAATGAGAACTGAGAGTAATAGTTAATTTATCTGAAAGTGATACATCTTGCAGCAGGACCGACTCACTTTTTTCAAGCCAGGCGACAGGTCTACTACCGTAAACCTGAGGCAAATAATTTTTCTAAGGCATTGAAGGCGATTTAATGCATTTATTACATTTTCTAATTTTACGGACGAAAATTATTACAACAACATATTATCATATTAAAAACATAATATTAAATAATATTTTACTATACCTTTTATCTTATTCTATACCATGGCAAAGCGAACGAATCCAATCTTTGCAATTTTAATTTTTCGTATAATAACATTTATAGAACATTTAGTATGCCGGTTAGATTGATATAAACCAGTTTTGGTATCAACGGCCTTGGAGAATTTGTCCATCTAGTCACCCAAGCGTAATATCCGAAAACATGTTCATGATACGAAGTAGAAAACAATGGGAACAGAGAGACGTTCTAGATATTCAGAACATAGCCATAAGTTTCATTAATTTCTGACGGGAAACAGCCTCTCATTATTTAGCAGTCTCGTTATTAACAGATTTGGTGATCTCTTTAAACCGAGCGTCCAGAGAGCTCATCTGCACTTTGGTCAGCTTCGCGCCTTTCATATCGAGGACCTTGTGGAACTCGACGAGTGTGCTTTCTGGCAGTAGCTGGACGAACTGGGCGACGAATCCCTCTAGGTTGCCGTCCAGCGGTGCCATCACCAGCTTGAGTATCATTTCCGCTTTTGTCATCAGCTTTATCACCACCTTGGTGTAGGTCGCGGGCGCTTGGCGTTTCACCTCCGAACCGATAGACGGCAGCTCGAGCAGGGCCGTTTTCAACATGTGCGTGTCCAGCAATAGCTGCTCGGAGCCAACCGTGGATATCGGCTTGCACTTGTACACGTTCTGGATGAACTTCGGTATGAACGAATTCGCGAACCGTATGCAGAACTGGGTGAAGTATTTGCGCGAAGACGCCAAATTGTCCCTCAAGGTGGGTATCGCGTTCTTCAGGTGCATTATGATCTGCGTGACGTAAGAACTCTGGTCGCCGACGTTGTCGAAGTGCAGCCAGGAGATCTTCGTCATGGCTTGCAGAGCTGGCTCACAGGCCAGTTCCAGGTCCTGCACGAGCATCTGTATGCAGTTGCTGATCATCTTATGGAACAAATCCTGCTCCGGAGCCAGGTCTATCTTGTTAACCAGCGACGGGGCAACCTTCTCTTTGAGCTTTTGCTCTAAATGTATTGTTGTCTCAAGACAGTATTCCGATGTGGTTATCACACTTGTGATCCGCGCGACCTCCTGTTTCGTGTATCTGTGAGATTAAAAAGAACAGATAAATTATTTTCAGTTGCGGACCATCCCCGTTACTAATGCATGAGTAATCATCCGTTGAAACAAATAAATAAATAGACTAACAACTACCGTCCCGTGTGATATATATATATATATATATATACATATATGAGATCCAAGCGGGATGGGAATAAACGTAGTCGGGATGGTTGTAGCGATACCTGGCGGGCGTCGCGTCGTCCCTGAGGAGTGTGTGCAGGTTGGTGACGAGGCTGGGCACCGTGGTGGCAGAGCCCAGAGCTCCGAGCGAGAGCTGGGCGGGGCCGGACCGCGGCAGCGCCGCTTGTAGTACTCCGCCCGCGTACTCCCGCAGGTACTTTTGGAACACACCCGCCAGCTCTGCAAGAAACGTTATATAGACTACTAGCGAACCGCCCTGACTTCGCACGGGTACAATGTATTGTGTTTGAATCACTCAATCTAGTAAAAAAAGCGCATCAAGATCCGTCGCGTAGTTTTAAAGATCTAAGCATACATAGGGATAGACAGACAGCGAGACGACTTTGTTTTATACTATGTAGTGATTAAGGTACGAACCGGTAGTAGTGTTTTTTGATAATCAATAAGTAAGTGCAATGCTGTCTCAGGATCGGAGAGAAACACGATACTCTTCATTGCCCGCTAGAGTATATCAATTGCGTATCGTACCCGTGCGTAATGACTTTAGTAACGGGAGCCTCCGCATATTATCATCTCTGTATCATCCACGTGTCATATCCGCGCGGTATTGCGGTATATGCCCGCTATTCATCGTGCTAGGCAGGCACGTCAGGAAGAGCAAGCGACTACTTTGTTCAGAATATTGTCGTGCTTCGTCTGGTGAGCGAGGTAGAGCTTTTAATAGTTGGCGACGCATCTGCAACCCCTCAACAAGGTGTTGCAGATGTCCATGGACGGCGGTAGTCACTTAACATCAGGTTAACCGCCCGCTCGCTAGCCAACTTTTCACACAAAAGAAGCTCACCTAGCATAGGCTCCCCGGTAGTCAGTCGGGCGCACTGCACTAGACACTTCTTGTAGAAGAGGAAGAGGTCCGCACAGCTCGCTATCACGGCGCCGCTCCCACCGTTCGCAGCGGTCCCCGGAGCCCCACTTCCGATATCTGACGACTTCGCGTCCTATTGAGGAATTATTTTCATTCGCCCATTCACTCCTTCATTCATTTTTCTGATGTGTATTTTCTTTCTTTTGCGTTCTCCTGACCTTATAATCTCGTTAATGAGATTGAATCGGTTTTTTACGACTAGCGGCCTACCTGACGTCCTTGAGAACAAAAACCCGGAACAATTATCAGTTGGTTACACAAACGCTTGTCCCATCTGGGTATCCAACTCACGATCGCCAGCGTCAAAGCCAATGCTACTTTAAGTACTAATAAAATATTCAAATATTTCTTCGTATACAGCGTGTCGTTACTACCGCGACTATAAATGAACACACATAAAGAGGATAACTTTTTAAAATTGTTTTAAGCATTTACATTCTTTAAACATTAATATTTATATTTACAGCCAAGACAAACATTTTTAAAACACCCTTACGTATTAAACTGTAACGTAAAGTTCATTTGTAAAGGTCACAAAGCACATGAATCGGTTAAATGAATTTAAAAGACATAAAACATACTGTTAGAAAGAGAGACATAGGTAATGCGACGTTCTAGCAACGAATTAAAAAGTCTCTTAATGTATGCATCAGTCAGTTGTAGTTGTATAGGATGTTACAAATTTTGTTTCTTTTTTATTTAATTACTTTGTTTGAAAAATATATTTTTTTAATTATGGTTGTTTTAACGTTTTATATTTTTTTTATGATTATTGGCAAGTAGCGTTAGACAATATGCAATAACCTGTATAAATGTGTCCATTAGCGATCGGAGACTGGTGTCCAGGCTAGTTATGTAGAGCGATAGGTAGGGTTCGAAGCAACCGCCAATCAGGCCCACCCACGGCGACCCGCTCGCTGGCACCTCGTCGGTTTGACCCTGGAGTGATTGAAGCTGGTAAGTGTCTTTGAAACTTTCGCTAGCCACAGTGTTCTCTTTGTGCAGAAACTTGGATAAACATTACATTGACGAACCGATTGGCGTAGTGGATGATGAGCATGTCTCTTGCACCAGAGAGTGTGGGCTCGATCCCCACTACTAGAAAAACAAAATCGTCCTGCTGTCTGTCTGTCCCTATATATGCTTAGATCTTAAAAACTACGAAACGGATCTTGATACGGTTTTTTTACTGGATAGAGTGATTCAAGGGGGTTTATATGTATAATACATTGCACCCGCGCGAAGCCGGGGCGGGTCGCTAGTTGTAATTAAAGGCAATTGGTTTAGCGTTTAGGATGCATTATGACTTCCACCTTCCGTTGCAACGGAAACTCGAGCGCCGATTACTTTATATACAATTATAACTTTTATCGAAGCACTGATATAATATGTATATCACATTTGGAAGTTAGTGCATATCTTACTACCTGCCCTTCAGATAATATCAACTTGAAGAAGTTTAATGACTATTAGCATAAGAGTAAACATAGATATTAGTTACCTCTTTAGAGTCCTCGTTGAAATTGATTTGTTTGTCAGCGGTCGAATCGACAGTCTCAGGCCCCGTAAAATCAGTACCTGTACATAAATAAAATTATTTAGGGTAATCAAGATGTATACGTAATATTTTTTTTGTGTTCACGTGAACATTACGCATTGTTAAGTGTTTTTTCATCCACTCTTTGAGAAAGCTATCTTCGAGAATCAGATTTTAAATTGATCTTTGATCACATTCACACTGCAACAATGTCAATAAAAAATCTTTTTGTGTCGCCGTTTTTAATCATAATTTATTTTCTACTTATACCTATATGCCAGGTGTATTTTTACTTTTGGTTTTACATTGTTTTAACTTTATATTTCTCGTTTTTGATTCGTTACTTTGTTGAGTTTTAATTTTATATCTACACTAGCGGACCGGGCCGAAATCATTACAATCTGTCCAGCCGTTTCGGAAGAGTCCAGTGACATACACGTACAGAAAAATTATATATATATAAAGATAGTGCCTTTCTGTCTAAAGACTATAAAGCTTTATCAGGCACTGTGCTTGTGGAAGGGATCCGCTTCCACGAGCTTGTAGGACCATACTTGAGGCGAGTCACGCATGTGCCTTCCAAGGAAAGCGCGAGTACAACTTTTGTTTCTTCTGAATGTCACTTATGTAGAAAGTGAAGAGTTGCGGTGAAGATCCTTAAGGAACACCTACACACACCACAAAACAGGATTTCAATCATTTGATCATATCTCTGGGGTCACTTTCGAATGAAACTCAAACAAAATGCCTGTTGGCCACACCGCATGCCGTCTTTACAACGAGTGTGTCGTGTTTTGTGGATATCTACTATGCCGTCTCCTTACACAACGTTAGAGTGCGCTAACATGCATTTGATCTACGGTAAATGTGGACGCAGTGCTCGTGCAGCAAGTAGATTGTATCGTGAGAGATATCCTAATGCCAATAGTACGCAGATCATCGAGTATTTATGATTATTCAGCAAGCCATATTAGAAGGACGTTTTCCCAGCGATCGACGAAATAAGAAAAAGTACATCAGTTTGAAACATAGTTGGATCCGTCTCGATTTCCCGTAAAACTCGTTCGCTGTCCTCTCTACGTCGTCCTGCATTTCGTTAGAAAAATATGGATATTTTAAAAAGTGCACAGATTTTTTTATATATTTTGTTTCGTGGTAGGTACAAACTGAACTACCGTTTGCGCCCCATTTATCGTTGAATACATTGACAAGTCGAAGATACAAACTTTTCGGGTCACCCATTTTAAAGTTCTTATTTTCATGGTAAATCCTTTCTTGGGTATATATTATGATAAATATATATATATTTATGTGAAAAGTTGCCAAGCAACCAGGCGGTTCACCTGATCTTTAGTGAATACCGTCGCCCATAGACATCTGCTACACCCGAGAGTTGTAGATGCGTTGGACAACCATTTGAAAATTGGGCTCCGGCCACCTCACTCACCAGACGAAACGTGAAAGTATTATATTTCCACTTTAGGCCGGTCTTCTGTGTGGTCGTGGTACTTACCCGGACGAGCCTGCCCATTCGCGCAACAAGCGAGGCTGCTGCGTGGCCATACCACCGTTAATTATATGGTTGACTTGTACGGGTTATAAGGCTGACATTTTCACATTGACAAATATTTACCAAGTAAAACATGTTCTTACCGACAAACCGTTTGTGCAGTAATACTTCGAAGTTGTAAGTCTTTTGTATAGCATACAAAAGCAGTTTCACATCGACTTCGTTGCGACGCGATGACATTATTTTTGTAAGCTCTTCGCGTGTTATCTAAAAAAAAAAATAAACGAATATGTAAAGTCGAGCACTAGCTCGACGAGTTGTCGAAATTGAACAATAATCATGATTACAATTCGATGAAAGCATATATATATACATATTAATTTTTATTAATTATAATAATTTTCATTATTACAACATTTTTTTGCTATTCTTATCGATTCGTTCATTTTACATGTGAGACCTTACATTTTGAACTACCTAGATATTGTAAGTAAGTACTTATAAAAATGGTTCAATAAAATAAAGATAGGACGACATAAAGTTATTTTGCTTAAATAAATAAAAATAATTTTGTGCAACAAACAACTGACTCGGAATGAAACAATTTGTATAAAAAGAAATAAACTGTTTTTTTCATATAAGTGTTTCGTCGTGCAGAAGACTACAAATTGTAGTTTGTTGATGTTATTAAAATATAAACCAGACCTTCCTAGACGTACTCACCTCATTAAAAAAGAAAAAAAAACATTAAAATTGGACAATGTAGTGAAGAAATAATCCGCAACACAAATCAAATGCTCGGAAAAATTGAGGTCGCTCCTTTTTCGAAGTCGGTTATGAAGAGACATGTGTATCACCCTAATGAGAAAAACTTGTCCACTGTAAGTGATAGACATGTGATGAGACAATAGATGACCGTGACATGCATATGATAAAGGTAGAATATAATACAATAGAAGTAAGGTAGAACGTAGACACGTATATGATAAAGGTCTACCTTACTACCTACCGTAATATATTCTAAAATAGTACGGTAGGAAGTAAGGTAGAACATAGACATGCATATGATTATTGTAGAATTCAGTACGGTAGAAGTAAGGTACAACATAGAGATGCATATGATTAAGGTAGAATATAGTACGGTAGAAGTAAGGTAGAACGTAGATACGCATATGACTAAGTTAGAAGGTCACCTTGCAGAAGTGTCGGGCTATTCGCTCGCTGAGCAGCCACTCGTGGGGGAACATTGATGCGAGCGACTCCTCGAAGCTGAGGAGGTGCTTCTTCAGCCACGCGTACCTTCGCTCTATGTGGGACAACCACGCGCACTCTTGCTCCGCGGAGAACAGGTGCTGGTACTCCTGGTGGCGAAAAAACCACATGAGTCGATATATAGAATGGGCGATTAGTAAATCCAAATAGGCTCTTGGACTGTGTTACATGTACAATATTTGCTATAGAATGGACGAATAGATAGATAATAATATAATAACAAACTCTTCCTATTAAAAACAAGCCCTAATTGTTAGCATTATCCTGTGCTTATTTATAAAAGATAAATGCTATACGGTATCATACCTACCCACATACGTTCATAAAAACATACATTACATATTTAGGCCAAACCGTATATCTGTGCGCAAATATTAATTTAAACTATTCTACTACCGTTTCAGACGTTGTAGGTAAAAAAATTATTTTTAGTTATGTTCATACCTGAAGTTGAAGAGAAATGAACCAGCTGAGGAGTTCCTTCTTGATCTTCGGGTCCAACGCATCCACCACACCGCATGCTTCAGCTAATGTGCGCTGCATAATGACGCATTTACTGCCTGGCGGATTAATATAAAAGGAATAAAAGTAATTAGACTAGAAATATCTTTGATACAATCAAAATCATCTCGCACCAGCAATGCTCAAAATAGTTGATTGTTTGGATTTAATATTAACAAGCATCACCCTATCGCACATTTTGTTTTATATACAAAAGGTCTAAATTATGCAAGTTGATGAAAACATAATTATACAATGTTACTGTCATTTGCAATGAAAAATAGTTGACATTATTAATGCAGTTCTGTCACGACAATGAAAAGTACGGCATTTATTTTAAGGTTAATTAGTAGCAATAACACATTGGTAGACGCGAATCTATAGTCTAGGTTCTGGAAGAAGATTAAAGGCCAAATAACTCAAAGGCTATCATATTATTCTCTACGGTAGTTAGAAATTACTAGCTTATTATTATTCCGTTATCCAATTGATGTTTGAAGAAATTTGAAGTTGCGAAATTATGCTTTCCAAAGAAATTATATCTCATCTTGACGGGTTTAATTCCCCTCAATCCTTTCCCTAAATCCGTGTTATTCCACAAATGGTCAGGCCTATCCAGTGAAGTGCCGAGCGAAACCGAGCCGCAGCGAAACTACGTATAGTGTCTGAAACAACCAAACTCTACGCCTAACGGCCGGTTTCAATATTCTATCTGTCCGTAGATTTGGTTACTGTCGATCGGTATTTGACATTATCTCCTTAATACTTACTTTAAAATTGTACCCCCAGTAACCAAATCTACAGATAGACATGTTACTGAAAAATTGGTTGGCAATGCAAATGCCGTCATCATTACAGCCTGTTTGAGTCCACTGCTGAACATAGGCATCCCCATAGACGGTCACGAAGTACGATCCTGATCGACCCGCATCGACTTCCTGCACATTTACACAGGTCGTCACTCCATCGGATTATGTGTAGTCCACTACGAATGCTGATATAGATTGGTAAAATAGATATCATTATTTATTGGGAAAATTTCACCTTTTTTTATTTACCCGAGAAAGAGTCCTTGAAATCTGATATTATTTGCGTGGCGAGCTGAGTGCGTAAGGAGTGCACCTCGTCCCGGAGAGCGTTCAACTCTTTGATGTCCCGGTAGGACTCGAAGTGTTGCAGCACCTTCAATTTATTGTAGTACGTTAATATTTTCATTATAAAGAGCGAACAATTAGTAAAGGTCACCTTAAGGTATTAGGAAAAATTATACACAAGTTATCATAACTGTGATAACTAGAGGCAAGCAGAGATTACGGATGTCTACTTTCCACGATCCAACACATTTCCATATTTTCATACATATTTTACTTTAAAAAATTTATGCCGTTCCCACAATAAAGCTGTAGTACCAACGTAGAGAAGAGCTATTGAGTATTGATTATTTTATTTATAGTTCCAATAATATACATAGTGGAGTTCCTATAGAATCATTAAAATGCAAATGAACTAGGCCTAAGTTACGTCTGCAGTAATAGTTGAGAAATCGAATGAAGAAAATGTGGTTCACGGTTAGGAATGTTAAATCTGAAAGAGACTTATGACTGGTTGCATATTCTTTCCAACAAATTTAATCTGCAGCATGACACTGCCACGTGGTACATGTACAACATACGGAAAAGACCGAAAAAGAATTTGCGGAACTCTATATGTCTGACAGGTGACATGCGTAGTCGTGTTTATGTGTAGGTTCACATTTCCGTCACATAATGCCCTTTAATGTGTGAGTTAGCTTGTTTTCTGGAGTAAATGAACCGATCCTTCTAGCTTCATCTATAAGCCCCACACTTCACAATGAACAGCAGCAGAACAAACGAACGGGAAATACTCTTCACCGTGCCCCGCGTGTGGTTTTAACCTTACAACTATTCCCGCGCAATGGCATCCTTGTCGACAACGGTATTTCCTATACGATTTAGAAGCCTTAAGAAGTGTGCTTATTTTTTAATTTAATGGCCAGCAACACTTTTGTAATTTCGCTAGTGTTGGGTATCCTTCTATGCCGCGGTGATCGCCTTACGCTTTCTAACTGCCACTCAGCCTCTCCTCTTATATAAACAATTCAGGATATATTCTTCATCATCATCATCATCAACAAAAAGACGTCCACTGTTGAACCAAAGCTTTCCCCTTAGAACACCAAAGGATATATTCTTACCTCACTTTATATAGCTTAGAGTGGAGGGGCAATATTTAGTTGTAGTGGAAACTATACCTCCATGATAGCCTGCAACGGCAGCACCAGCTCCTTGTATTGGCGCCGCTGCGCCAGTACCCTCAGATCCGCAGCGCCACCTGCCAGCATGTGAAGGTGATTCAAAGCGGTGATAGCCGCCGTCAGGTTCCACTTCGCGCAGTCCAACTGTTTGATCTCGGCTGTTATCTCGCGCACCATACTCTCGCTGCGCTCCGCCTTTTTGTTTATCTCTGCCACCTGATTTATACATTTTTTTTTAATTTCAGAAACAGCAATGATCTTGTACAATTATAGATGTCTATAACTTAGATACCACCTATTAACCTTACAATGTCCAAAGCTTAGATTACATTTATGCCTTGTCACCTCAACGCTATTGACAATTTTATGGCACTGTTTCATACTCTTGTGTCACTGTATTTGTGTGCATATATAGGGGTCCCCAGAATAATATTAATAGTTTACCATTGAACTGGAAACATTTAAATGGCCTATTATAATGATCAATTAATGCTATGAGACTGATGGTAAGATGTTAGTCATGTTTTTCTTAGCTTTACTGTTTGTTTTCTATAACTAAGTTGATTTAATTTATGTTGTTGTAAATATAAGCTGTTGAAGAGAGGAGCCTGTTACTGGCATTATTTTTCTTACTAGGTGACTTCGATCACCGATCATAAAAAGTAATTTAAGTATTTGACAAAATGAACTGAAAAGACGAGAAGAAAAGGGTGTGGGTTGAATTAAGCACCTAAGGTGAGATTGGTTAATGTTAATGTTGGCTTGGGCCAATGATAATTAAACAACTTTCACCTGCAATGCTAACTCTGTGATGCATCGTTGTGCCTCCAGTAAAGCCTCCTGTCCAGCTTCTCGTTGAGCTGCCTGCTCCCTAACCAAACGTTGGATATCATGCTGAATAGACGCAAGGCGAAACTCGCAACGAGCCGCTGCAGTCTCTACTCCTGAAAGTGACTGCTCCGTTGGAAATACTCTATTTATATATGCAACAGCATCAAACTGTAAATAAAAATATGTTGTTAACGAGCCAAAAAAATCAAAAAAATAGGTAACACATTCAGAATACATATTTTGAAAGCAATCCTGGTTACATTAACAAAATTACATAGTAATAACATTTAATGAGTACCTAACACTATGTCCGTTTAAAATTTCGTTTTACTCCCATTAATCAGTTCCTTTGTTTCTTTCCTTCAGAAAGAGAGTGATAAAGTAAGTAAATAACAATGGAATAGCTTATTTCATACAAAAAAACTACTCACTTCATCATTGTCAAACTGTTCAGTTCCACCCATTAACTCTTCAATTCGACTCATTACTGAACTGGGAAAGGTCAATTGAACTTCAGGACCACTATCCTTATCGTCCAAAATTTCATTCGAATCCATATTTAGAAGAATTTTAATGAAAAGAATTTATAAAAAAGATAAACTTTAATATTGTTTGTCACTGTCAGGTCAGACGTTATCTTTGACACATGAACATGACATATTTTTATTTGATATATTTTTGTAATAAAGATTTTATGACCTGGTATCAAGACCTTTAAGCCATTTTAATTTATTATTTAATTTAGTTTAACGCTGCGTTGACAAGAGGAGTGATTTTTTTCTCGCCCAAATTTTTAAAAGAGGTTTATTAGAGGTATTTTATTAACGTTATAAGATATTCCAAATTACTTTTATTACCTTATTTTTTCGTGAAGTGTAGAACGCTGTCGTTAGCTTGTGAGGTAGCCGGAGCTCATATTATTCAAAGGCATAAATGTAGCCAGGCTACCTCAAACAAAATGCGGAGGTATAGCACTTCTGCTGCACGCCACTCTTTTGAGAGGTCGTGGTACTCCCGGACCCCGGACGAATCACAAACAACCAACCCATTCGTGCAACACTAAAGACCGTTGCGTTTTTCTACGATAGTAAAATAATAATAATAGTAATTTCCACGGTTTAATTTGCTGCAAATGAAAGGTCTACGCTTTTTAAATTATTCAGTACTTCAGTACCATATCAACGGTGAGGTGAGTATCCAAACGTAAGAATTGACAGAGGCTGAAAAGAAACGTAATGAACATTCGTTCTTTCTTTCTCGTACGCTATTCGTTGTTCATTTTGTTCATTGGTTGGACATTGTTGTTTTCTTCAGTTTTTTCTCTTCGGTCGAGGTGTGTTGTCGCTTGACAGTATCTCTGCGACAGAATGATCAGATACGACCTTTCTTCGATTTAGTGCATATTTGTGTTTTTTCTTCAAATTGACAATACCTTTCGTGTATATAGTGAATTGTGCATAACAATGGCTCGGCTTACGGAAGAGATGGTGATCGCGCGATCGAAGCAATCAGACCTCACCGCGATAAAGAAATTGAACTGCTGGTAAGTTTCAAAATGTAACGTCCCGAGATATTTGGGGGCAGAAGAAGCCACCGTGCATAATAACGTTCCGCTAGAACTAACCCCGCGTACATTAACCCTCACTTGTAATCTCAGTCGTGATTTGCTCCCATAGTTTTTATTCAAAGCGTGAGAGTTTTTCTTCATTGTGCAAATCAGCTGTGTGGACATAGCATGTAACGCTATGATTCCATAAATTCCATTCATATCATGTAGGGAGCAAACAACCAATTCCATAACTTGCATTTATCATTACAATTTAGTATGTAATGCCTTTATTTTAAATAACTAGTTCTATAAAATATGCAGTCAGGTCTATTTTATTTTAAAGACATTTATGTCTTCTTGAAATAAATGTTGGTGAAAACAAGAAACATCTTATTGTATATTATATATTTAAATATAATAGAAAATCATGTTTATTATATTTTTTTTAAAGATTTTTAGAGAGAATTAGAAGATTAAGCTTTTATGCATGTAATATATAAACAATTCTTTAAATATATGATAATATGACCAGTCTATTAATTAAAGTCTTAAGATATTAAGTAAGGCATTCTAATAGAATATAATATAATACTAGCTAATCGTCCATATAGAAAACCAAGCAAATATTTATTTATGTAATAAATGGCGCATTATTTAAAGGCAGTGGTAGAATTATTTATGGAAATTATGCAATCATGACAATGTTTGATGTTATATCAAGGATTTTTTATAAATTTGCACAACTTGTTTTTTCATATTATGTTTGATCAAAGGAATAAATTTTAGTTTTGAAGATATTCCAAACAGGCCACAAATACATATTACATTCATAATTATGTATAACCTTGGTACTGCAGATACTTGCTAGTTCTTTTAATCCAGGGGTAAATTATAATATTTATAATTGCTTGAACCGAAACCTTACTTAAATAAAGGAATTGAGATATGTGGCTAGTCTCTGCACTCAAATAAGACCAGTGGGGGCTTTTTGTATAACTAAGTAGCAGAATATTTTCATTATAAAAAGTCAGCATAACTCTCTGCTGTGGAGAAATGTGGAAATAACGAAATCTGATTAGTTACTAAAAACACATCTCCTCTCCTCTTTGGTGGATTACGGGCCTAAAGTAGAAATAATTATCCTTGTGTGTGAAGTGACCAGTATTTTATGTGGCAACGCATCTGCAACGGGTGTTGTAAATATCCATGCTCGCTTGCCACTATCTCACATAAAAAAATATTTCTATTAACTGAAAGATTCATCATCATCATCATCATTTCAGCCTGTTTGAGTCCACTGCTGAACATAGGCCTCCCCCATAGACTGCCATGAAGTACGATCCTTAGCCACCTGCATCCATCGACTTCCCGCACATTTGCACAGGTCGTCACTCCATCTAGTGGGGGGTCGTCCTACACTGCGATGGCCAGTACGAAGACATCCGCAGTAGAACTAAGATTTTTACTTTACTTACTAACCGACATAGCTCAGAGGATTAGCAAGCTGAAGTGGCGATGGGCCGGCCATATAGCTCGTAGAACCGATAACCGTTGGGGAAGAAAGGTTCTCGAGTGGCAGCCTTGTACTTAAAGATTACAAAGGGTGAAATTAAAGCCTTTTGGCATTCTTTTCCCGTTAACCTGGTTAAGTTTTAGATGAGCCGCCTGTCCATAACAAAACAAATATTAAAATAATATAGTATATTATATATTATCGTAATCTATATCCTAATATATAATCATAAGGCCGAAAAAGTCATAAATATTCAGGTCAATAGAAAAGGTCTTTTCATTTATTTCAGTACCAACTTTTAAAATTGATTTTACCATGAAGGTGATGTTATAAATTATTTTAGAACACCATAGAGCAGCCGGCAATAAGAAAGGCACAATATATATTTTTTTTAACTTTGATTACCGATAAAAGCAACGTTTTTTGTGAAAATATTCCATTGATTTCATTAATTTAAAATTAGGTATATGTCTGCAAAGTATCTTGACTAGATTTCTTTGTTTGGAAGCAGACTACCTGCTGTCTATACGTCATCTTTAAAATACGCTTGCGACCGATACGAAGGCTTATTTAAATAGCGTGTGACTGTGAGGTGACTAGCCTCAATTTTTATCCCAATGCTCCGTAAATTAAAATTTTATTAAAGCAAAGATTTTAAACCACACTAGAAAGAAGAGTTTTTATTAATGTATTATAATTGCATGACGATGTTTAAATTTTCTTCAATTATTAGTTATTTTCCAGACGTATCTAGTCTGGAAAACAACTAATAATTGATGTAACAATTTGTATTACACACAAAGGCGTCCCTGTATGGCCTTTGTCAGTGAATGAATCATATCTCGAAAACGTGGCCAAAGTGATCTCACTTCAGGTGTTGAGATGGTTTTGTTCTTGACTTTCGATTGTCATCGATGTGTATTTGTTCCAATATTTGTTTATCGGTGTTAAATATTGCGCTTGATGTTCAAATCGATTGTGTATCGGTCAAGAGAGAGATTTCTTATTTCACGGTTCGGTTTTTCGGAGTGAGATTTCGTCATGATAGAATTTGTTCGTTACGATGCAGAAAGTTGCCACGATGAATTAAGTTTACTACACTTAGTTCAGGTCTAGATTTTTTTGTATAACTTCAATGAATGTTATTTAACCCAAAAGTTATTATAAATTGTTTAATCTTTGTTTTATAACGTTATGCATTTGTAACGAAAACTGGTTTCGAAATAGTTTATCGCAGTCATCTATAACATGTTTATGAACACGTTGATAATGCTAAATATATCATCTTATCTATTACTAAATATTACGCCTTCATGACGACAATACTATTATCAAAGCAGTTTGGCCAGAATGGCAACGTTTATTGCCATAACTAACAAGCCTCGGGCTCATTACGGAAAAAAACCGTAAATTCTTTTCTGCTGTGTCAACTGAGTTAAACAATTGCATTATTATAGTTCATAGTTTCAGCAACAAAATTTTACGAAAGCAACACCAAATTTGGCGTTTTTTTTTTTGTATTTTTATATCGGTATTTTTTTATATTTTTTTTTCAGCAATCATGGTCTGAAGAGTTAACGTCTGCCGTTTTAACTCCAAAAGCGTTGCGCTAAAGTTTTATTTATTTATTTTATAACAAATTACTCCCGTAGTAACAAACAAAGAAAGTTTCTGGAAACTGAACTCACATACATAGTGATTTGTGTGTGTGTGTGTGTGTGCCTGAAGATAAGAAACATAATTAACGCATGCGAACAGTGGAGGATTCCTGAAGTGTTGTCTCACTGCTTGTTATGAGTCAACAGAGAGGAGAGCCTTCACCCGTAGAATCGTGCCTTCGAGGGCCTTGAGTCGCCTGTGAAAATCTCACGGCGTAGCAAATACCACGTTCAAGTCTACCTACTAATATAGTAAAAATGTTAAGTTTGCTTGTTTCTAGTTTATTATGAAACTCTTCATCTAATGATTCTTTTGTTCGTGCTAGTAGGGTATATATCTTATTTGATGTAAAGAAGTTTTAAGTTAAACACTTCAATGATTAATCTTTTAAGTGTAGAGATTGGCACTATAAAAATTTTACCTTCAATGTTTTTTTGTGTAAGAAGGTTTTATTCGTGCTAGTAGGCTATATACAGAATATCTTATTGTCAATGGACATCTGCAGCGACACCCCTAGGCTTGATGCGGTGCCATCGTTTAAGAAAGTAGGCCTTGGTAACCTCACTCAAAACACCAGAAAGTCGTGGTACTTCTCCGGATGAGCCTGCCCATTTGTGCAACGCTAGACTTCTGCGTGGTCCTACCACAGTCAAAAACGTTTGCATGATGAAATTCAATGAGACGGGAAATGACATAATTATGGAAAGAGCGATATTTTTTTATTAATCCCTTATATTGAGAAACGGAGAGTTAGAACTGGGATCTGATCTGTCGTACAAAGTCGGGACAGATTTTAGATACCAACATTGTATCGTCAACTTGTAAATTGCATGTCCGTAGGATGTGTTTGATAAAGCTTTAAACTTCAATAAGGCTTAAAACAAAACACGTAATTACACGTAGAATATTCCTAGTATAAAATCTTCGAATCGAGACCAGTCGTTAAACTTGTTCAAAGGTTGTTTATACATTTCGTTCAACATGTTAAAAAAGTGACCCTACAACTGGTCCATTCCCTGGCGATGCTGACTGCAATTTATGATGGTGGAGCATTTTACTGAACGGGTTCCAGAATCGTAAGATTGAAACCATTTGTGCCAAGGTTTTTTTAGTTGTAACTCGTCATACCACTCTTATCTTTGAGTTGATCATTAAAACGAATAACTCTTAACGAATATGTTAAACCTATGTATAAATGTCCTAACTCAAGTTGTGTAATTTTTTGCCAAAATTACGTCAGTTGTCATTTTCCAGTAACACAATGTCGAAACTCAATCGAATATAAAAAATAAGCTATTTCTGTCACACCTGAACGGGCACCGTTAAGGAGTTGGTTATCTGCTACTCGATGATAGTAATAATAAATAAATTTTTACCCATACACTTTGTTCGAAAGACAGGGCCACTATCCACCACAACCCCCAATCGACTCTCATGAGCCATGAAGTGCGAGCTTTAAGGCACATAATAATAATAAATAATAAAATAATAATATAATAAATAATAAAATAATAAAAATAAATAATAAAAAATAAAATAAAATAATAAATACGATAACATACCGGATCAACAGCAAACCCAATTGTAAATAGAAAAAAGTGGTTATGGCAGTTCCCATTCAGTCTTTCGCTTGTTAAGAAAGACATCTTCTTACTGGTTTATTTTGCCACTAACTGTTAGCCGCGTATTTACTCGCTTAATTTTTTTTTCGAAATAAAACTAATACAATGGGTAAAAAGTCCATATATACATATATACATATGTATACATATGTGGACTTTTTACTGATGGAACAATTTCTTTTCTATTTTATTTTATTACC